ACATCCATTATCATAGGTTATAAATCAAGGATTGCGGCCCTATCCTTCCGCGTCTCCGATTTCCAGCCCCCACCACTTTTTCATACCTTCCCAGCGGCGCCCTGAGCCATAATTCATTCCGTTTTTGTTCAAAGACCTCCAGATGATTTGGGAGATCGCTCTCTCTCGCTCTCTCTCTCTCTCTTTCTCCCTCTCTCTCTCGCTCCGATATTCCACGATCTACTTAGCACTCACCCATGTCCTAGCCCTCCCCCCCTGGCTGCACCAATGCGCATTCCTGATCAGACCCGCCAGCGTGAATGACTGAAGGATGTTGGCGTGGAAATTTGAGCCCATCGTTTGAGGGCAAGTCCCCGCCATACTTTGCACGTGGTTTCGGTCCTTAGGGCCCTCCAGGGCCACCACCTACCTTCCCCTCCAGCCTCCCAAACCCGCCCTCCATTATTTGTTTTGTTCCATCAAATATTTTTCGCCTCTATCTCGCCGGGGGTAAACATTGCTTGGCGCACTAGCGTGGTTGCGATTGAGGTTTTTCGAAAATCTGTTTTCTGCTAATTCGGAGTCATTACTATATCTTGAGGTGGGAGGTAACTGGCAAGACAGATCGATCTCAAGTAATACGATATTCTCCAAAGCCATATCCCATTCATTCACAGACCTCAAGGACCTTTCCGAGAAAATTTTAATAAACGTATTTCGATCTGTACGTTTGATTTACCATACTTTGCCCTGCTTGTACCTTATTTACTAGTTTATTTACGATAAAGGGAAGGTTGCTCAAGATCCAAGCCACACTCCGCCTTTTTCAACACCCAAGTTCGCGGCCGGAATTAGATCCGATGCGATGATCCCGTGTCCATATCACGTTTCATGGTTGCGTGAATTCGAGATTCACAGCCAGTGTGCACGCTGGAAGAGACAGGCTTGTCCTGGGTTTTTTTTTGACCACCACCTATTCAAAAAAAACTTGTTTAGGTTTTGAATATCCTCTGGGGAAAAGCATAGCCCGCTTCAAATTTTATCTCATGAATCAAGTCATTTTGGTTTAAAAACCCTTCCTAGCCGATTTCCCGCCGACTTTCAACCCCTTTCACTCACGTCTGACGTGTGTTTCTTTCCGATTTTCGATGATGAACGGGAAGTTGTGTTGTGGCTGGGCCCCTTCCCTTCTTTCCTAGCGGCGGCTGGGGCCCCTGGAAAGGCCCCCTGCCCCGGGACATTCAAGTGTCAATTTGTGGCCTCATTCTCACGGGACTCTGGCAGATTTCCGTAAATTTTCTTGAAAAGGCACCCCCGTTGGCTTCGAATCGGACAAGGAATCAGATTTGCGCGGAGCAATTGCGCGACGCCAAGAAGCTATGGGAAGGGTGGGGGATGGCTGGGTGGATAAACTCGAGCTCTGGGCAACGGATCGCTTAGTGCTTCCCTGTTTAAGTTTTCTCAGTTTTTTGGGTAGATTTCATGTAAACTTTAGACACAGGTTTTGGAACTGACAAAAGTTTCGATTTCTTTCTCGATCAGCGAATCCTAATAAAAAAAATAGTATTTTTGTATGCACCGTGAATACAAAAATCGGTTTTACACAGTTTCAAAACGGTTTTCTGTAAATTCGGCCCGCGGTTTTTAGTTCTAACTTTGCGTAGAAAATGATAAGCAAATTGTTCTAAAGGGACATACATCGCCATTGCAACATTTTTTGCTTTGCGAAACCCTAAATTTTTCATAATCTCAGCATTGACACTTAAAGCCCGACTGGCTAGGGTGTGTTTTGTCACAATGGACACTTGGTCATTAGCCGGCCGGGTCCGTGGTGGGGGCCCAGTCAAAGAAGCCACCGGGGGCCCATGTGATTGTGTAGATGACGAACGGGCCGAAGTGGGTTTTGGGGAGGGCCACTGGCGGAGGGGCCACTGGGCGAGTCGGAGGGGGGGCCTCCATGGGCCATTGTCGAGTGCCACGGCCGTCCTCTCGCTGAATAATGCACCTGGAAAGGGGGGCCCTCTGGCACCTGGGCCTTCATGGGCCACAAGCCGGCCGAGGATCCACCACCACCACTTCAGCCCCCCCAGCCCCGCACTCCCAAAGTTCAGCATGCTTGGGGGTGGTGGCTATATTTAGGTGGAGAATTACGTGTTGCAACTCGCGGCTTAAAATTTTTTAAATTTGGATGGGCTCTACTAGTTTATATATTACCGTATCCAAGTGATGCAAATATTTAGCGACTATTTATACTCTTGGTCGGAAAATATGTAAAAAATCTCATAATATTACTTACTATGGAGTAGAATAATCATGACGTTATTCAATTTAACTCCGGGCCAAATCGGCGAAGTTACCTCAGCTTCCGCTGCCTATCACACTTCCAAATTTTTACACACAAGGCGCAGAACTGGATACTTTGCTTTTGCAGTTGCGCTGTAAAAAGGTCTTGTGGCTTGCAAAAATTTGTATATTGGGATATTTACATTTACAATTCGTGTAGGTATTTATATTGTAATTTGTAGATTTAAATAAGAACGTAAGTTTGGTACACCTTCCGATTTTAGCATATTTTGAAATCGAATAAGACCATCATCATAAAGCAGCTTTATCCTAGTTATGAAAATCACTATATATAATTTATCGTATTCCATAATTTTTATGATTTTTCCATGACCCTACATATGTTCTTATCGCACTATATCATCTTTTTTTATCAAAATATATCTTGTACCCTAACTTTTTCCGTTCCCCCAAGCAACAGCCCCCCCAGCCAAGGCGACCCAAGCACAAAAACACCTGGGTCCTTCGGATTTCTGAGTAGCCAGGTGCTCGCCATACCGAAAGCAATAATGCAGTTCCACTCCCATTTCTTGGCATTCCCTCAACAAATACCCCTTCCTCACTTCTTCATCTGCCATTTTCAACACGATATATCCCGCCAAGATAGACACCATACAAAAAAAAAGAAAATTGAAAGAAGCCACCCGTTTGGGCACGCATCCCTATCCCCGAACCCGAGACAATGCATTTATTAGCGCAATTCTTCCATTAGTCCCTTCTTTTCCTTTGTTTGTAGCTTAACCTCCAAGCTCTTTACGAGACTTGAGGCCACCATTTTTCGGCTTTCCTTTTGCTTTGTTGGCTTGTTGGCTCGTGGAGCTTGGAATTCGTTTTTTGGTCATGCTGTATGCGCATGTGTGTCTGCTGCTGCTGGTGGTCCCTTCATTGGTAGCAAAAGTAAAAGTAGCCAACCTCCGCGCCGGCTGGCCAAATGACTTCCTCTAGAGGTGCCTTTAAGAAGGAGGAGGTCTACGTCTTGGAGGGTGGGTGGGATGGAGATTGTTGAAAGGAAAAGGGAAGGAGACCTTCGGCGGGAGAGCTTCTTCTTCCAGGGATGGCCGCGATGAATATTGGTCTCCGTTTCCGGGCCGCACGAAAAGTTGCCGAAATTGGCCGAAACTTTTTTGGGGGGCTAAATTGCGGTCTCCTAATCCGTAAGTAGTTTTCATCGGCTTACCCGATTCCACGTTTACTTTGTAGTCGGCGTTGGGCGAACATGGCTTCATACCAATTCCCAAAATTCTTCCGCGTTTTCGCCACATCCCAATTTTTTGGGTCGATTGAATTAGACCGGTGGGTAAGTGTCCCGTAAATTGCTAGCTCTGCGAGAGGTTCGTTGGAGGCTTCTTTATTTTTCTCAAATACTGATTAAAGTTTGTGCCAATTTTTCGTTGAGTTACAACCCATTCCCTTGTTGCGGCCCCTTTACGACAAATGTGAAAAGTGCGCATCAGCGGACTGGATCTCGATTTTCGGCCATTCCGTCGCATCCTGCGGGGGGTCCCGTTGCAGGGCGCCGAATCGGAAGGACAAGGGTGGGCATAGTAACATGTCGGAGGAAGGGCAAAAAGTTAGTAGGCTTTCGAAAGTGTGGGGTTTGGTGCTTGACGGAAATGAAATATAGCTTGCTTCTATATTCGAAAAGCTTACTAGTCATGAACTACAGCAAGTTACTCAAGCATAGTAACCTTTAGGCATACTCAAAGGCATTCACTGCTTGTGCCCTTCAGTTACTATAGCCCAAGCATTTAATCGAGCAGTCAGATATGGTTTTATAAGAAAAATTGTATCGATTTCTTAAAAGCCACGCAATACCTCTAAGCCCGAAAGAAGAAGCAGGTAGCCCATCACCTTACCAGATTAGCACCAGATGGTAGCAACATTTTTGATTCCTGAAAAGTCACGCTTTAACTCTGAAACCAGATACTTTTGTGCTGTTTTCTACCCTCTCCATAAGAGTTTTTTTAACGATTTTCACATTGACGAACGGCTCGAAACCTTGGAAAGAGCCACGGAAAGGATGCTAGCCTTAATAATCTTTCGGCCAGCTGGTTTCGGGTTTCATTTCGTGGCGGGTCTGGGGGGGGTCAGGAGCGAATCCTTCGCCATCCACACGGCACACATCCCATCTGGGCGGATGGCAGGCCAAAAGGGAGGGGGGACACGTCTTCTTCCTCCCACCTCCTCGAGGACGCCTTCTTGTGACTTGAATCTGTGGGCTCGCCACTTTGCCACAGCCACTTCACAACGTTGACGCTTCCTTTTGGGTACAAATGCCGAGGGGATTCAAGGAGTTTCCCCGTTAAAGTGGTTAGAGTTTGTTCTTTGTTTGAGGCTAGGGTTTGATGGAGGGTGAATGCGTTGAATTTTTTGCCGTTGGCTTCCGCTACCGTAATTCCAATAATCTTAGCCCAGATGATAGAACTACTTATAATATAACCCCGGGTGGGCGAAAAATTAGAAGCCGGTCTCTTGGAAAAATTGGGCAGCTTCTACTAAAAAAACTAGGAAATGATTTTACTTTCTATTTATGATTTACGTTCGTACTATTAGGTGTTGTAGGCCCTTTAGAAGTGATAAAAACCGATCGAATTGGCCAAATCTACCGATTTTATCTACGATTTTTCGATATTTTGATCGATTAAAAATATCATATCCTCTTCATGGTGATTTGAAAAATGTATATTTCTTCACTATTTCCTTTTGTATCATGTACGCAATGTCTTTTTTGCTCATTTTTTTCTTTTAGTAACACCACTTCCGGAGAACAAGGCGGCAGCTAGGGGCTCCGTCCGATGTGTTGGCGGGCAGGCGATCAACCCTCCAATGTGTTGTTGCTGTTGCGGATTGCACCGTCACCAAATCCACCTTATTAGGTAACCGAATTTACATACCGCTATAACTTCCGCTCGTTTCCAACGTAATCCATTCATTTCCAGTTACGCCTTCGTTTCACTCGGTCTGCTCGCAACGGGTTTTGTCTTCACAATATTTTCTATATTCTACAAGGATTCGCAAATAGGGAAGGTATTTATGGCAATGTTCAACCGCGAAATTACCAATTCAAGGTATGGCTAGCAGGACCTACGACTATGGTTGTCGGTCTGGTGTTGTGTGGAAAGGTATGGAAATGAATAATGGTTCTGGATTGAATATGCAAATTTCGGGTGTTGATTGATTATGGGCCAGCGATGTCGTCAGCAAGGCATGGATCAATTGATTCGCGGATGATGGAACAGGTACTTGTATAGTGCTAATCTACCTTAAATGGTCTTCATAATAAACACCCTATAAACGACCTATTTTTAGGGTGCCAATCCCGTAATGCAACGACTCGCAAATAACGGTGGCATGGCGCCAAACGGCCGACATTTCGGCTCTTTCACCCCTTCACAGGATGGCTATCAAAAAGCTCTAATTATCCCAAATAATGCCGCTAAGCAGAGCAACGGCAGTATATCTGGTACGTAAATACCTTTAGTCGTCTAAAATTCCTGTTTTAGCCCCGTCAGGATCCGGTTCACCAGGTGGCTTGCATATCCCTCCCCAAGTCACCGCATACCATCAACAAAAAGTCCCGAACGCCGAGACATGTCTGATGTATTCACAGTACGAGCCGCCATTAAGCAATTTGAATGTGAGTTTTGTCTTTCTACTAAAAGTATTCTCAATTTAGTCGACACCTATCGGTATGCGTTTGTCCCACGCAAAACTGGAGCAATCGCCGAGGGGCAGTGTCACATCACCGGCTGTCAGCGAGGTATATTTTTGTAAATTCAAATAACTAAAAAATTTGGAAACGAGATATGTATGTATGGTAAAAATAGCATGTTTCTTATTTGAAATGCAGCAGACAGGCTTCAATTGTTTTCAGAAGCCAGTCAAGGAAATTGTTTTTGAAATGCTCTATGAGTATAAAAGCCTTTCGAGAAAGCTTTTTTCATTTTTCACTTATCGAAATATTTGTAGGAATTAAAGCCTAACGCTAAAAACTATAAGCCAACAAATAGCTTGTCAATTAACCAAGCGAATCTCATCAAATGAAGCGCTTCTAGATCTGCGAGTGCGCGAAGTACGGCACAATCCGCCGGCCGGCCAACCTATATCAGGGCGAATCGTTCGTGCTCAATGATAGGAATTATCTCATATGACATACCGACGTCTGAACCTCGCCTAAGCTCCCTGCCAAATCATTCTATGCCGTTTTCCGGGGTTCAGGCGTCTGCCCCGTAAATCCAAAAGATTTTCGATATGTATAGTATATCCAAGTTTTCAATTCTGCTCATCAAATTTGACAAATGACCAATCCTATTTCCTCCAAACCGCATGCGGGTTCCCCCACATAACAGAATCTCAAACAAGTTCTATCCATTTTTCTTGTGCTATGGGTGTAAATGTATGAAATTTTAGTTAGTCAAATAAATGCTGTAACGTGCACAATTTTCTTCCTTACGAGCCTGAAATTATCAAAAAATATACACAATGTTAGTTAACAGAAAGAAAATTACTTTTGACTTAATTACCTGGATTTCGTCACTTTTGCAAATTGATTACGGGTTCCTAAAAGCAGTTTAGCGATGCTCCAGTTCCTGGGTATTTCATGGTTTCTACAAATGACGATAGCTGCAACCAGTGAAACCTTCACACTTGACATTAGAGCGGTACTATCTTGTATTCAAAGCCTATTTTGAAGTTAGGGGCTGGAAAAAGCGTTGGACCAAACCCTTAATCGGCCTTCCGCCGAGAATTTTGATGCGTGTACTTTTTGCGGATTTGCCATCGGCGTCCTCGCAGAACAACTAGGACAATCAACAACCGAGGAGAAAATCTTGGAAGAATTAGAGCAAGTAACTTCTGATTTTTTAAAAAGCTTTTTTAGGCTATTGGCCTCTTTACTTCCCGGAAAGTTACATTATCTCTATAAAGATTTGGTGCGGGAGTTTGGGGTATTGATCGATTTTTCGCCAATTTTGGCCAATGCCAATGTTTAGCCAGAGATTCTTCACGTACTTGCAAAGGGAAGATTTGCACCGCAATTTTTGTGTGGACTAATGCTGAGTGGATGCGGAGAGTCGTTGTCAGATCCTAGGATCGAATTGTGGCCAATGGATATACCGAAAGATAAGCCGGATGTGAAGCACTGGCCAGTCGTCCCGGTCAGTCCTTCTGAGTTCATCTAATGTAATATCTTAGAGTGGGAAGCCAACACTTCGTATACTGCATATATCAGATCTGCACATTGACAGAGCATACAAAGTAGGATCCGAAGCCGGTAAAAATTGCGATTTGATACGGGTATCCAAAATCTAGATTGTGACTTTGGTAATTTGCCCAAGAAGCTTTGTTGTCGACAGTATCAGGGTGATGATCCCACCAGACGTAAAGATGGATTTTGAAACTTATCGGCCTATTTTCAGCAATTAAAAAACAAGCCGGACCATGGGGCACAGTGGCTAGTTGCGACATACCCTTCCAAACTTTTATTAGCGCCTTGAACCATATAAAAAATACGGAAAAGGTATATTTCACAGTAAGTTTGACATCTTAATCAATGTAGCTGGACCTCATCTACATTACCGGCGATTTGGAAGCTCATGATATCTGGGCCTACAGTAAAACTACAACCAGCGCTAACATTAAGAACATTACCGATGTCTTGAATTCATTTTTCCCTAGTACCCCGATATTCCAAGCCACCGGGAATCATGAAGGCGTACCGATGGATGGGTAGAAATTGTGCATCGAGACGGTAATGTACCACTTAAGGATGCCGCAGCATAGCATGCTAAACTACGAAAAGTATTCACCAGGCTGGCTCTATAGTGAATATGCAGAGGCTTGGGCACCTCAGTTGACACCAGAGGCTATAAATCAAACCAAATAGTACAGTATTTGAAAGCTATAAGACGTATTTTTAGTCGCGCCTCTTATGCCATGTCTATCAAGAAAAAACTGCGATTGATTTCGTTGAATACGGTTTATTGTTCCCAGTTTAATATGTAAGTTATCATAGAAAGACATAGAAAGCGAGAGAGAGAGAGAGAGAGAGAGAGAGAGATAACGAGGGATATTCAAGCAAGCTATAAGCCTTTAGGTTTCTATTTCTTGACCTCTATGATCCGGATGGAACCCTAAAATGGCTAATTGAACAACTTCTAGATGCCGAATCAAAAAAAGAAAAGGCAGCTTGAAAAATCGGTTTCCCAAAACTGAAATAGGTGCATATAATTTCACATATTCCACCGGGAGATGACTATTGCATGAGGGGGTGGTCGACCAATTTCTATAAAATTGTGAATAGGTAAGCGCTAGATCCAGCTGTTAAACACAGATTTTAGGTTTGAAAACACTATTGCGGCAATGTTTTATGGACACACCCACTTTGATGAGTTCCAGGCAGGCCCGTAGGAGCGGGGGGCGGAGGGGCATGCCGCCCCCCCGAAATCTGCAGATGTCGAAAAAATGATAAGGGGGGACCCTTATGATTTTTGAAAATTTTTGAAAAAGGGCGGTAAACGGCAGATGTTTTTGAACCGCCGCCCCCCGAAACCCTTGCCGCCCCCCGAAACCCTTGCCCCCGAAATTTTGGGTCAGCTACGGCCCTGGTTCCAGGTGTGGCTAGAGATCTGTAACTATAGTTGTGTATAGATATTTTATGATGGCGGGAAGCCGAAGGGTCGGCCTACTCATTTTGCATGGATCGCCCCATCCCTTACGACTTATTCCGATCATAATCCTGCTTACCGAATTTATACCGTCGATGGGGAATACGATGGGAGCTCATATGTGAATTATGCTAAACGTCGGCATAAACCAAAATTACTAGACGGTTGCTGATGCCGCCACATATTGGACTGATATTGAACTGGCCAATAAAAATAACCAAGAACCGATCTGGAAGTTGGAATATGATACTAGGGTCAGGTTCTTATTTAAATCTGAAACTTGTTTTAGAAAGGCCTTAATATGCATGATCTATCACCAAAAAGCTGGGAGGATCTGGTGCAGCGAATGGAGGCTGATAACGCGTTATTCGATAAGTATCGAACGTAAATCATTACCGGAAAATATGATCAATAGAAATTCAGTTACCGATTTCGGAATGCGGCCTTCGAAAAGGATTGTGTAACCAATCCGGAATGTAGGAAGAAGATGATTTGTTCCCTCAGAAGTGCCCGTTCGTACGATCAAAAAACTTTCTGCCCATGAACCGGGATAAAAAGTGTTGCCCAGACTTTACTAAAAAATTTGTAAAGCGTGAATTGATTTTATTGAACCGGAATTGAAATGTAAAACCGGAATTTAAACTTGCCAACGTCCATTTTAAGTGCACGAATTCAAATCACACAAATCGCCACCACAACTACTCACAGCTGAACAAATATCATTCCCAAAATACGGACAAAAGCATTTTGTATGCACGTTGTTGTGTTTTCGGACTGTTTGTTGAAAGCCTATTCAAATTTCAGCCGCCCAAATGGACTCGGTTTCAGCGAAAACATTTGGCGGTCGCAACTGCCGGCCAAAACTCGGAACTCGTCGTTATCTATTTTATAGCTAGTGATCCATTTTTATAACTTATAAAAAGCAGCGTGACTGACACTCTATTCTGGAGTTCAATTCCGTTCCAATTTTTGGCCTTTTGTATTTGGCTTTCGTTGTTACTTTTTTACTCAATATTTTTCAGGATGTTTGTCGTCCTCGGGTATTTATCTTGTTTATTATTGATTCAATCGTCAGCGTCCGCAGAAGCGCCACAAATTAATAAAGATGCGGTACGAATCCTTAGTAAAACTACAAATTTATTCAGTACCTACATAATGTAATGGACAGAATAGCCGCTTTGACGCCGTCTAACGCTGACTTAGGGTGTGGTACTTGCAAATTGCTCGTGGATATGCTGCAAAACATGCTGAAGAGCAATAAAACCGAGCAGGAAATTTTCGAAGTAGTTGAGTAAGTTCTTTAAAGGTTGGAAGCTAGTTATTTTTAGGAATCTCTGCGTAAATTTGAAAATAGAAGACCCGCACATCTGCAAAGCTATTGTGCCGCAATTTGGAGTAAGGACCAATTGGGCATTAATGAAAAGTGTTGCTTAGCCCGAACTAGTCTATGTGCTTGAGAAGAGTGATCACGATGTTGATGATATTTGTGGAGCGATGATTACGGGTTGTGGGAACCCGGAAAATCCAAAAACTGCGTTATGGCCCATGCAAATACCGGCAAATAAGCCTGTGGTGAAACCATGGCCGGTTGTAGCGGTATGGTTTTGGAAGATTTAAAAAAATATGGCTTTAGAACGGCGGCAATACCCTTCGCGTACTTCATTTATCCGATATTCATCTTGATCGAATGTATACGGTCGGAGCTGAATCAAGTAAACAGCTCTTAACTGAAGAAAATAATGGCGTTTCCAGATTGTACAAAGGGTGGCGGTGTCCAGAATCCAATGTGCTGTCGTCCGTATCCGGATGTGGATCCCAGTACACGTAATTTAAGATCCATAAACTTCTAACCCATAAGCTTATTCTAGCAATACAAATCCCGGCAGGGCCTTGGGGTATGAATCAAAATTGCGATCTACCATTCCAAACATTTGTCAATGCCATGAGCCACATCAACAAGACGGAAAAAGTAACACTAATCCTCGGAACGTTTTAGAATGGGTTAAGCTTGATTTTATCTACATTACTGGTGACCTCGAAGGACACGATATCTGGGATTACACCAAGGAAAAGACGATCTCGAATATCCAGAACATCACTGATGTCTTATCCTCTTTCTTTCCAAATACCCCTATTTATCAAGCTACTGGAAACCATGAGGGAGTACCAATGGATGGGTAAGACCTCAAGGCCCTTGTTTGAGTCGAAATTTAAATAGAATGCCGCCACATACAATGGAGGACTACCAAACCTACAGCCCGGAATGGCTCTATAAAGAGTTTGCCAAGGCTTGGGGACCTCATTTGACCCAGCAAGCTATCTTCGACACTCAATAGTCAGTTTGTAGTGTTCCGTACAAAATTCCTGCAGTCGTGCTTCATATTCAATCTACATCAAGAAGAATCTGCGACTAATTTCTCTGAACACCGTCTACTGCTCCCAATGGAACTTGTAGGACCAGATTTCGAATTATTTCATGAATTTAGCTTCCTGTTTCTTGACCTGGTAGACCCAGATGGAACGCTTCAATGGTTAGCGGAACAACTTCTAGATGCCGAGCAAAAGAAGGAGAAGGTTTTTCTGGTTTGCATACCGGTTTATGTCATTTTCTAGGTGCATATCATTTCCCATATTCCATCCGGTGATGACTATTGTATGAAAGGGTGGTCGTTCAATTTTTACGACATTGTCAATCGGTAGTTTTACAAAGCCCTTTTGTCACCAGACGTTCAGTTTTGAAAATACCATTTCGGGACTTTTCTACGGTCATACACACAAGGACGAATTTCAAGTGCGTGTCTATATTAAATCGAAAGTTGACTACAGATCTTTTACGAAAATGGTGACCCAACCGGAAGGGCAACGCATTTTACGTGGATCGCACCGTCTCTTACCACCTATTCCTACCAAAATCCGGCTTATAGGATTTATACGATTGACGGAGAGTACACTGGAAGCTCCTACGTAAGGTTCAATCGCTACCATATCACCATATCACTTTTTAGCTATAACGGTTAATTTTGTTTCAGACAGTTTTGGAAGCGGAAACCTACTGGGCGGATGTAGAATTGGCAAATCGGAACAACAAGGAACCGGACTGGAAACTTGAATATAAAACTAGAGTATTTCTATGCCTATCCGCCTACATCATAGCTTTTAGCAAGCCTATAATATGCCCGACCTCTCACCGAAAAGCTGGAGCGACCTGGTAACACGCATGGAAACAAATAATACATTATTTAATATGTATCGAACGTAAGTAAGACTGCATAATTAGCATTAAATTTAGTTACCATTATCGCAATCCAAACCACGAGAAGAACTGTGCGACGAATGGTAACTGCAAGCAGAACATGTTGTGTTCGCTTAGAAGCGGCCGTTCTCATGATCAAGCAAATTTTTGTAAATAGATAAATATATTTTAAAGGTTTTTGAAACGCAACGCTAGTATAATATAATTAAAGGGGCTACGACGCGTCAAAATTGGCCAGGACGAGGAAAACAGCATCTACGTTGGAGTCCCTTGTACACAGAGACGGCGGGAAACGTGGCGATTTGAATTCCCCCGTGTACCTGCTGGATCAATCATGTTCTCGCGCCTGTCTCGACCTAATTCTACGATTCGAAACATAGCGCTATGGAAGTGCAAACCTGAGTTCAATATTTGCAAATTCCATCGTTCTGAGAAGAAATCGAACGTGGTTTTCGCACTAATTTAAAAACTGAGGCCACCGGCGTTTTTGCAGCTATGTGAGCCCCCTCGATTAATAATTTCTTATTGGTAGTCGTTTCAACTGACCAGAAATTCTTATGTTGCATTGTTTTCAGTTTTTTTTTTGGTTATTTGAAACGATTGAGCAGGCCTCGCGTTTTGTTTGCTCTCGTTGATATCCATTTCGAAACACTTCTGTGATTATTGCCAGCGCGAAAGCCGCCTTTCCTTATTAATCACCCGGAAAACGGTCGACGCGGAGAAGCGATCGATGGGGGCGACACATAGGGAAGAGCGGGTTTCGGGCGCACCGAATCCACACCCCGATCCACCCGGTGGCGCCCCATTCCCCCCACCCACCAGCCAACCCTCCGTTTTTTTTTACTTGCAAATGAAGCCTTTTCCTTTATTGGGCAGAAGCTTGTCGTAAGGTTTTTATCTTTGGATGTGTAACAAAAACCAAATCGGAACCGGCTACTTTTTTGAGCGCTTTCTACACTATTCGGTTCAAAGATTGTATCGATCAATGTTTTCCCCTTTCCTCGTGATTAGCCGGAAAAGAATCTGCGTCGCGGATCGGATATTTTGAAAACAAGGTTGATTTATACGATCGGAGCGATCATCGTCTTTTCTAGTCCCGATCGGCCATCGATCTCTTCCTTTTCGTATTAATTCTTCTGGTATTGATACCTTTTTGAAATAAAGATGTTTTCGTATCAAGCTGGTTTATTTTATGACACATTTCAGAATGGCCCGCGGGCATCAAAAGGCTCTGTCCCAGCAGCGCAACGCCCAAAAGCAGGAAGCAGCGAAAAAAGGGACCAGCCAGGCCAAAACCGCTCAAGCCGCTCTAAAATTCAAGTGTTCCGTCTGCATGGTGGGTACTTTTTAATTTCTGAGCGTCTAGCAATTTTATTAACCTCTGTCCTTTTTCTAAACTGCCGATTTCAGGCCCAAATGCCCGACCCGATCACCTACAAAGACCATTTCACCTCAAAACATCCGAAATCGCCCCTCCCCGCGGAACTCCAAGCGTAAAATATGCATAAAACGGCTCAAATTCTGATATTTATTCCGTAGACACAGTACCGGAAATGCACACAATATTTCTAAAGTTTCGGGCAAAGTTGAAGCACTGTTTTTGACTGTTTTTTTGGACTATGGAATGTGGGGGACGGGGAACGGGAAAAGGATTTATGGGTGAAGCGGGGGGAATGTGTATAATTTAGGTTTGGGCGTTGAGGTTGACTTTCGGGACTTCCATTTGGGATACAATGTCGTAAACGGATGCACGGTTTCGCATGTTGTTCACTCGGCCTAGGATGGCAGCCATTTGTTTCTGGAAGTCGTCATCCTCTTGTTGGTTCGTTTGGAGTCGCTGGAATAATTCGATAATTTTGCAAAAGATTGATTGTTCTACAATGTCTATTTTGAAAAATTTTGGGAGGATCGAATCCCGGAAATCCCTTCCGGACCAGGTGCGGCAAAACAAATCCGGTTCTAAACTCACTTCGTGGAAACTGCGTCTCCTCTTCTCCCTCTCTGCTTTCTGGTGCTCAAGGGTCTCCATCATTTTCTTGTTGTGCTCCTTCAACCGCTCTTCAACCTTTCCCATGTAATCGTTCAAATGGTCCATCTGCGAGTTCAGCTTGCGGATCTCTGAAAACAATCGATAGTTGCTGTGATGCAAATCTTTTTCCAGCTTGCCTACAGCGAGTCGGATCGCAAATATTTCTGGATCTTTCTATGTGCGCCCGAAACGGCGATCATCGATGGCTAAATGGGGGTGTGTGCGCACGGGGGGGGGGGGGATTGCCTTGAGGGGAGGGGGATTCGCCTTTGATGTGACGCCGACTAGGCGATGATTGTATACATAGGTATATTTTCCTTTCGAGTGTTTCTACCAATTTAAAAAATTGTGTATGAGTGAAAAATAAGCGCTGGTGGGTCAACGGGAAATAGCAAGGATTGGACCTCCACTACTCAGAACTGAACCAGCCAAGCTAGCCAATTTTTAATTATCATCTCCTAACCTACACTCCCTTTTGATGACTCAAATCAAAGCCCCCAACCAGGAGCCAACAGACTGTTCAGAATGGACAGGACTATTGTTGACAAATGCACTTTTTTAGGGACCAGCCAGAGCAGCGGCCCCCGCGTTTGTTAGCCTCTCTCAGGTTGCCCCGGCCCACTGATCCCATAAAACAACAAAACGTTCGTCGCGCTTCCGAAGAAAGTTGAAAATTGAAGAGGTGTTACTTGGGCACGGTGCCGAATTTTCGGGAAAGGAGGAAGGAGCGCGTAATTCGATTATTTGGGGGCTAATGCATTTTAAACCCGGCGCTGGCAAAGCGGGCATTTTCAACGTTCAAGCGGATACAAATAAAAACCAACCCTCAGTCTCCTCAGACGTTTCGCCCTCTTGGAGAACTCCCATGCCTCGGAAAAGGGCCTGGTGAACAGTGCTGTTGGCCATTTCTTCTTTTTCTTCTTTTTCTTCTTTTTCCTCTTCGTGGATGGTCGGCTGAAAAGAATAAATTGATTTGCGTAAGAGGTGCGAGTTGTAAGGCGCGATGAAGGGGAGACTGGACAGCGCGTGTGCTTATCTGAGATGACCGATCTAGAGGGGGTAAAACGGTAGCCACTGATAGCTAGTGGACGGGGGCGTTTGTAAAGTGGATAAAATTCAGAAGTGTAGGTCAACGACTAATTGAGGCTGGGGAGATGGAGTGTGTGGGCCGTTCGAAAAAGAGAGGGGGGACTGCAGTTCAGAACCGGTCGCGTGGCGCGATAGAGGGGGATTATTTTTATGGTGAGTCAGTGTCAGAAATTAATTGTTAAATGAGGAAAGAAAGGGGGTATCTACTTTCTTGCGGTAAAAAGAATATAGTTTAAAGGATTAATATACTAGTACATAACTAAGGCTTGTCGCTTTGATGACGAAAGGGGAGAATAATTAAGAATAGAACAGCCGCTACCGGATCACCACCATCCGATGCTACGACACGAAGATGCTAAAGAGCTGCTGGGCACACTGACCTGTAGGGGCGTGGCTTGTGGGGCCGGCGCGGCTGAGCCACCTCGATTGCGCATTCGGACGACGACGGGCTCCTCTGTCTGCTTCTCCTCAACTGGGGCCATCTTCTCCCTGTAAGATGTCTTTCACAACCTCTATTTGTATGCGTCTCTCGATCTCTTCCCCTTGGCTGTCTCTCTTCTGCCTATTCCACCGTCCATTCACTGATCCGAGACGAGCACCAGGGAACGGGTAATGGGCTAGGGCGAGGTTGTGCCGGGGAGGAGGTGGAGGAGGACAAGAAGTGGAGAGAGGAACAGGGCGAAGGATATTAGGTGTGGTCGCACGAGGGTGAATCAGAACTTTTTCCGAAAAGAGAAGATTCATGGACTTGATGGTACTGGGCGGACACTCCCTAATAAGGACAGGTTCGATGACGACATTTACCGAAAAAGCCAAAACAAAAGGGGATTGGCAATAAATGGGAAGCTTATTCTAGAGCGAGAAGATTGACCAATTTAGAGAATCTTTGATAAGATTAAAAAATTTGAATAAATTTGGCACGCTTGGTGGTATGATAGATACGCCTTTTAATGAATTTTTTTTGCACAGTTCCTTTCTTAATATATTTGTCGTATTCTCACGCAACTCCCACACAGTGTGACGAAGACCAGTTGGGTAAAAAGCAACGCCGACAATATGACTCAGCCAACTTCTTTGGAGTGCTTTTTAGGAAAAGATTTACGGTACCCTCGCTCCTTCACTGAAAGGACCGGTGCCGGGGGACAAGTCTGGACGGTTAATTGCCCTGTTAGTGGCATGGATGTGGTGGGGTAGTATCGTATCGGGTTTTCAGATGTTTGAATTTTCTGGGGGCTATAAAGGGACAGAAGAATAAGACAAAAAAAACAGGAATTCTAGATGTACACAGTAAAGTAAAAATTTCTTACTATTTACACATTAGCCCACACACCCCCCCATCCCAAACAATAGGCGCTTTCCAAATACAAGACTGCCGCTTTTTGCCAACCCCATGTTTTTATGTGTGTCTCTTGTATCGAAAGGGAAAGGCGTTGATGGGTATTTGCCTTCGCGCACGCTTCGTTCCCTTGTTCGTTTTTTGCGTAGCCCGACGTACTGCGTGCCATTACGGGCAGCCGACACTGGCCTATCTCCTCACATAAATCGGAACTACAAAGCCGTACTATTGACCCCTTGGCGGTGTGTCCGGACAAGGCGACAAAGATTATGGGCTTAATGGCGGGTGGTAGGGGGGAAGGAGCAGGGGAAGGAAATGGTAAGGAATGGATGGGAAGGTCAGAACCAGGCGGAAGGATCGTGGTCTGTGGGAAAAGGAGAATAAATATAGGAATTGCGGGCAGATGAACTTTGAAAAATTAGCAAGTTAAAAATCCACACTATTTTTAGGTTTTCTTGGAATGAAAGTTCAGAACAACCAATTAGCAGGAAATTTTTTAATGCTATCGTATATGAAAAATTTACATACATAACTAAGAAAAAATTGATACCCCAGGAGACATTACTTCATGCAATTTAAAAAATTTTTCAAAGACAACGGGGAAATAAAGCAATTATCTCAATTAAGTTCTCGCTGTTTGGGTATTTCTAGCCAGCTAGCTATAGTTGAAAAACCCCAATACAGGTGGTGGAAAAATCCATCCGGTCCAGCTCATTCCGTATTCAGTTCGCTCAAGGTCACCCGCTCACCCCCCACCAGACAAGCAAGAAAGATTCCAAAAAACGCAATCATCGCTAAAGGGCACACATCGATCCGGTGAAACGACCGGACGCCATCCGGACAGTTATGAAACACTGGAGCGCAAAAGGGTCGCAGCGCCAGGTTGAATGGAGTAGGAGAATGTGTCTGCCGTGTGTGTGCCCATTTCACGGCAACCCCCCCTTCCAATACTGCACCGATGTCGACAACCGGAATTCTCTGCCATGCAGTCAGCTCACTCCCGGTGGATGCTATTCTCTCTATTCGGTCGTCGGGAGAGTTGGGGGGTCCCAAGGGTTGTCCATGTTTTTATAGACCTGAATGGCGCAGGTGAACATATGTTAAAAAGGTGGGTTGGTTATTGCGAGCCAGCGTTCAGAGTGCTTGGTGAGGTTGAGGAAGGTGAATTTTGGAGTTTGATGGATCAAAATATTAGCTAAGGCTTTCCTTTAGGCATCCGGAAAGTCCCATTTTTTTAAGGCTGCCGATAGGTAGGCGTGGGACCCAGCTACCTTCGCCAGGAAACTGCGAAAAATGAATATAAACAAAAATCATAAAATTAAATTGGTGGTTCACGATTTTTCAAGTTTTGCGTGTTTTTGTAATAACGATTCTTTTTTACGCTATTAAGAGCTGAAAATAAGTTATTGGCTTCTAAGCTTCTAAGATCAACACAGCATTAGAAATTAAATAACGGGAATACCCCTGACTTTTACAAAAAAAAAATTAGATAGTCTTTGTAACTTCGAGAAGCTTACCCCTAAAAAAAAGCATGCTAAACAAACTATGCTATTCGCGAACTAAACAAACTTTCGCCAAGTTGTGCGAACAAGAAAAATCTTGCCACCCCGTACAATGCAAGCAAACACGTTGAATGAAATCGATCTGCCTATCGGCAAAATGCAAGTTTCGCTGATGCGCTCGACTGCCATTCCAACCACGCCCCATAGGACTCACGAAACACAAAGTCTTGCGAATAGGAAAGGGTGGAAAGAAAGGGACAAGTCGGGGGGAGTATTCCTTTCAATGTCACTTGTCAGCGCCCCGGGACTTGACTTGACCGATAGGGGGTAACGGTAGGATATCAAAATACTAGTCCAGATTTGGGTTGACGTTGGGTGGTTAATTTTAGGGACGGGCGGGGATAGGATAGGATAGGAAATGGTAAGTAAGGGCTCACTGAACAATGTTAGGACGTGAAATGGTTTACTTTCATTTGGCCGCTTTTCCCCTCGCGGACTTTCATTTTCAGAATTTTATTCATGCATTCTAATTTCATTTTCGGTCAATTTTGGACTATTAAGACTACTTTATTTCATACACCCGAGTATGGCCGAAATTTAATGTTGACGATAATAAAATGCGAACAAAGTTATTTTCATAAACCTTATTAACCCAGCTACCTAACTACCCAACAAATGAGCACACACAAATAGAAATCTGAGAAATGAAAGTCGGCGAAAAGAAATGAAACATTCTGTGATGAAAAATCCACGACATAAAAATGGAAAATTAGCGTTCACCACGCTAAATATCCAAAGATACAAAACGAAATTTGTGCAATTTTTGAATAGCAATGATCACAGAAATATTAGTGGCCACACGGACTTCCCAACTTCCGGCGCAACTCCTTCAAAACCAGTGGCCATTTGTGGGCAATCTGTGACTCATTCTCAGCAGATTTCCTCCCCGTTGTCCGGTGTTCCCCCGCCCCGCCGCTCAAACACACCCCCTTCAATCCACTCCTGACAATACGCAAAAAAATCGACAAGAAATTGGGACACCACCTCCAGTTGTTACTCACCCCAAAAGTGGGTAAATAGTCTATTCGAAGTGGGCCCGAACAGCGTAACATTATCATAAGCACTGAGTCAGGCATCGAGTAGTAAAAAAATAATAAGCTGGCTTATAGGCGGGCATAAAAAGCTGTGGGGGCCTATCAGTTCACACAATGAGAATTATGGGTCTAGGTGTGAAACGGACAAATTTATGGCTACTAAAAATAGGGTGAACTGTCTGAACTTACAATACTTGTTGAGGATCGTATCAATTGACTGGATGTATAATGGCTTCATGAAAAGAATAAAAGAGTAGGTGTTTATTCTGGGGAAGCCCGATGAAAAGATAAGATTAGAAGGAGCAGACGTCTCGTAGAGGAGTGCCGGGATGAATCGGAAACAATACAGTGGAAGGAAAAGGGGAAAATGAGGGTGGTTGTTGAGTCCATCAAAGCGTTGTGTACTCGATAGGAGGACCCGCAACCAGCACCGTCGACACCGTTTTCAGATTAGCGCGCCCTATAATGCTGCATCCCTCAGTAAACGCCCGCTGGCGGTGGAAACGAGTTTTGGGCAGGCATTTCATATTTATACTGTTGAGGGGTAGGCAGGGGGTTGAATGGAAAGGTGAAGCTAGCAGATTCAAAATGAATACCGTTCCTCTAAGAAAATCCGTCCTTTGGGGTTGTTTACTTTCTAATTAAAGATATAAGCCATTTAAAGTGGTAAAAACATGCCGGATTGGCCAAAATTAACTAATTTAACTTAGTTAATAAGCAGCTTTTGAAAACGCAAGTACCTATTGTGTCTAAACTCAGTATGAACCAAGCAGAAGAACTGAAAATGGTCTCCCATCTAACCTCAACCCCGCCCCAACCCGCGCCCTCAGTTTGCATACAAATACGGAATGCGTCCCCCCTAAACCAGCCCGAGCACCGAGTAAGATGAGTAAAGCCGTTCGCCCAAAGGTTTTTTGCACCTAAAGAACCCAGGGGGGCCCAGCTGGTTCCCCGTGAACTTTTGCGCCGACTGGGGGAAGGTGGTAGTGGGGGGTTGTGTGTGTGAAAACAAGAAATTAGTGGACCGGGTGGGCGTGCTGGTGGGTGGCGGGCCGGATTATGGCTCGCGGTTGACTGAAGGGATCGTCTCGTCTCAAAAATCGTCGCCACGGCCTCTGGGACGGCTTTTAACAATTTATTTCGAAAAAGGGTGGCAGCAAACAATGGGGAGAGCTGGGATTTATTAGTTACGAACGAACTAGCCCGTATGATGAAGCGAGGGGTGTGAAAAGTAAAATACCATGATCAGGCTCACAATTTAAATTTTACAGAATTTGTATTTATAATTAAACAACCTAATAATACTAAAAATTATGTCGAGAGATCACAATCAGGATAACATTCGGCAATGTCTGGTAAAACAAGATGTGGGTAAAGACGGGCATCCTTTGGGTAGTTCTTCCCTGAACTCTTCTCAAATTTCCCTAGCTGCTCTCGAATCTAGTAAAGCATTTAACTGATCACCCAATATACAGGATTTACCTCATCCACGCTCGCCATTTTATTTTTCCGATGCGGCCAACCCCTCGGACTTGCGTCGCAACGGGAAGGATCGGGTATAGACTAAAAATCCTGATCCTACTATATATAAAAAAATAGTGTCTGTGTGTGTGTGTGTGCATTTGCATGCAACTTCCGTCCGTATGTTCCAGTCGTATCTCAATAGGGGAGGAAGTTAAGGGTACGTATGATACGTCATTAGGTGCGTAATGGTCATGACACGACTGCACGCATATAAGGTTTTTAAAAATCAGCAGTTTTCGATATTAAAATCAAGTTTTTGTGAAAATCTCGCTCGGCCTCTTTGTTAGGAATCAATTAGCATGCACCGGAAGTGGGGGAGGCCTATATAAGGGGGGAGAGGGCGCGCTTCTCATTTTTCTGCACAGGAATTCAGGTGTTTATGCAAAGTGACGAAATATGGGGGTAAGACGGGGGCCAGGGTTGAAAAGTCGCGAAGCGGCTTTTCAACCCTGGTGAATACTTAATTTTGTAAACCTCAAAAGGGGATTGCCATCCACTTTGGTTAATCGCAATTGCCTTCCATCCATGGAACATGAAATCGTTGTCGCACCACCTAAAAATTCAAGCCTTACAAAAATGGACCTCCTTACCTATCACCGGTTAAATAACCATCTCTAACCCATCCATGGGCTCGCCTCCAAATCCTTACTTTACCAGGCCATAACCGTGTCGCTCCTATAAATCCCGTTTCAATGACTCTTTGACCGTACCCAATGCCAATTTACAGCATGACACATAAGCCATATATGTCGAGTAATTTCTCCCTTGATGCCAAATTGTATCGCAATTCTTAATCTCTTGCGTCGCATCCGGGATTACTGTTTGCAAAATGTGGATCTGAAAATGGCTAGATTGAAGGCAAAGCGGCGGGGGGCGATTACCTGCAGCACGCCATTGTCGGCCCCGTTCCAGTTCTGGGGCTGCACAAACTCCCAGTCTGCCCATTTCTTCATGAATTTGTACGAGAAATCGCTATTTTTAGCCTGAAACAAGCATGAAACTGTGTAGAGAGGTGAGCTCACCATATAATTTCCACTGGCAATTTCCCAATTGAAAAACCGTTCGTAAAATATTAATTGGGCACGATCATCAATCCATTCCTCGAAGCAATGATTTGGGTTCGCGATGCCTGAAGTGGAAGGTTAAATTGTTGTTTGAGAAAAAGCATACCGGCATCTGCATCCAAGACTACTAACCAATCGGTTTTCTTCAAATATACTGAAGCGGCACAATGTTTTTTGAAAAATAACTTAAACATTTTATTGCTATCATAATTATAGGGATTACCTGTTTATGTTGATGACACGCTTCTTGTATTTCTGGATCTGTATCCAAATCGACCATGGCTACCTCATAGTTAGTACCCTTCAAGTAGCATTCCAGACTTCGTTGCGCCACATGATAATGTCTGATGGAATTAGAGAGATGAAAATATTGCTTACTTTTTCATACTCGACTCTACATAAGCCACCATCAGTAATAACCTTCCAAATGTCTTTGGACAGGCACTAAAGTTTTGCCTAAAAAAAGCTGAATCGAATCATTGTATAAATAAATTGACCTTTTAGGATACGGAGTACGCTGTATTCGATCCGAGAGATCAATTTGTTGGATATGAATATCGTCATGAACATGGTGAGCCTCTAAAACCGAAACATTCCTGTCTAAATCACTATCAAACCGTCAAATTGTAATTCCTGGTCCTTCGTGATTTTTTCGAGGTATTTTTTCAACATCTCGACCTGCTGATCGGTACGTGGCGTCAGCAACAAAATTAGGCCAAAAATTCCCGTAGCGGCAAAACAATAAAACATGAAACGCTGCGATCCACGCATCTGTAAATTTAACTTCTGATTTTGCTCATTGGTATTCAAATTAATTGGTTAACAAAGCTATTAACCTGTGCTCGCCAAAGCCTGGATAGCAAACGTGCTTTTGATGCTTTCGGCCATGACATATTATTCAAAATGTGCGAGGATAGTGAAGTGCAATAAGCTAAGCTAAAATGAATGAAAATTTTCGATCCTTTTGAATTTTGATGGCCTCATCAAAAAAGTGGTTGCATAGTGACCAAGACAAAGAGCTTTATGCCTCAGAAAGAAATAGAAACAATAAATGCCTGGTACAACTTTTATCTCAATCCGGAGAATTATGCATATCCTGCAACCGGGGATCATTAAAAGCCACAAATGTCATAGACAGGATGCGGTTAGAAGCGACACATGTAGAACAAAGCAAATAAGTGCTTCCATATTTGAGCAGCCTGTTGCGAGGCAATCCATCGGATCTTCCTTTCCAGCGACCCCTCCGTGGGCGATCAGTGAGAATTGAATAGATGTGCAGTTAGTGGGAACTGAACTTTAATGTGAGTTCACTAACCAATATATAAAATAGAGTTAAAGGACCACGTTTTACCTGAGAAAATCAATGGTGCCGGTGAAAACAAAGATGCGGAAACAGGCTGTCGGGGGACCATACTAAAATGAGAAAGAACGTGCCATCGCCCCCAGGAGTCGCGTTTCACTTTCCAGGACGGTCACTCCCGTTGTGACAATTGCTGTGACTGTCTATGTATATATGGGATAGATCATATAAAGTCAATTAACCACCTATAAATATTGATCTTCAAACCCAAGCCGATTTTCGTAATTCTTTTGCCTAGAATGATTTGCCTTCCCAAATGATTAAATTACACTAGGAAATTAAATAAGCACAAAATCCAGATATATACGAAATAATAAGTTAAATTAGCATGAAAACATAAATTTTTGCGGTTAATGATCGATAGGATGGGTAGGTGCTAATGGGTATTTTTCGCTAAAGCCAAAAGTTCTGACCTAATTGCTCCATCTCCATAATGTTTTCTATCCCAAAAACCATGCTGGAATTTTGATACTTTTGTACTTTGTATTTCTGCATGTAACGAAATAAAATTCAAATCATTTATCCCATATTAATCATTGCCATGGGCATGCTTCTGTACAAATAATCGAAAGACGTTCGGTGAGGGGTTGGATGTCGTGGATGACAAAATTTGCGTTTCTTGGCGTCGGGTTGAGTGGTCGGTGGTTGCTGGGCCTCCTTTCGCAATTTAGAAGACGGAGCGGCGGGCGCGCTTGGCGGTGTAGCGGTAGCGGAGGCAGCACGTTTGCTCGGCACACTTCACGTATCCCCGCTGGCACACACAGTTCGAAGCGGCACACGAGGTGGTGGACGCGCTGAAACAATACAAATAGCCAGGGCACCAGCATTTGCCTTTTTGCGCAAATAAGTGACAAGTGGGGGCTGGGTTGGTGTCTGGGTATTACGCTTTTAGAACGATGATGTAATCCGAAAACAACTGGTTTTTGCTAGGGAACCTAAGGATCGCGACAACTGCCAAAAACATCTAGCTCTGGTGAATTAAAACTGCTAGAATAGTAATTTGTCGTTCTCTCTATCTCACCTGTACTGCGTCATCTGCGCTGGTTGGCTAGCCATGCACGAGCTCGAGCAAGCCGGCTGGCAAGCTGGAGCACACTGCGACGGCTGCGATGGCTGCATGGAAACCTGGACCTGGACCTGGGCACAATCGCACGACGGCTGCTGAGCCTGGCAATCGCAGGCCGGCTGTTGCTGTTGTTGGCAGCAGCTGGGCTGTTGTTGCTGCTGGCAGTCGCACGATGGCTGTTGCTGCTGGCAGCAGCTGGGCTGTTGCTGTTGCTGGCAGTCGCAGGCGGGCTGTTGCTGCTGGCAGCAGCTAGGCTGTTGCTGTTGGCAATCGCAGGCAGGTTGTTGCTGTTGGCAGCAGGCGGGTTGTTGTTGCTGGCAGTCACAGGCAGGCTAGAAAATCACTTTGTAAGAATTTGAGCATCAAGTACGCGAACCTGCTGGACCTGGAGGACGATCTGCTGGGGCTGACAGTCGCACGATGGTTGTTGTTGACAATCGCAAGCGGGCTGCTAAATGAGCCTTAATAATATGGTGGCATTGGCTGACCTGCTGTTGGCATGCGCAGGCGGGCTGTTGCTGCTGGCAATCGCAAGCGGGCTGCTGAAAAAACAGTTTAGACCAGGTATGACTTCCGGTGTTGTTGCGAGATCTATGTGGATCCTAGAAAAGTACCTGCTGTTGGCAAGGGCTGCAGGCTGGCTGGCAATCGCAGGCTGGCTGCTGCTGAATATTTTTGGGTAAAAACCACGCATAGTGTTGCTCACCTGGGGGCACGGGTCGCAAGCTGGCTGCTGCTGTTGCTGGAATTGGAGCTGGACGTTAACAACCTGGCAGCACGACTGCTGGGGCTGTTGTTGCTGGCAGCACGACGGTTGTTGCTGAGGGCAGCATGATGGTTGTTGTTGCTGGCAGCAGCTGGGCTGTTGTTGCTGCTGGCAGTCACAAGCCGGCTGAAACGAAAACTTCCATTTTTGATTTTAAGAAATTAAATAAGTTAATAAATTGAAAATTCTAGAAGTGTGGGTATATTCTCAAACCCTGGGATTCTTATTCAAACGAAATTACTAAGGATGGCTTGTAGCCTATTTTGATGGCTTAGCGCCTTTTTTTGACAATTTGTGAAATTACAGTACCTGTTGCTGAACAGTGCAGCACTGGACGCCGCAAAGTCCCGCAGATCCACATGCTTGCCTCTTCGCTCTCAACGAAAGTTCGCCAATAGGTCCGGCCAAAGCCTAAAAAAAACAGAAATAATCTTGTAAGATGAAGTTTTCAATTAAGTTTATTGCGAAAACGCAAAAACCAAAACCAACCACAGCCAATAGGGCAACAGCGATCGTCTGCCTGAACATCTTTGAGCTTCTGCCGAGCTCTTGCTGGGATGCCTACCTCCTCTACCTGGCCCCCTTTATACGAGGTGGGCCCTCTAGGCAGAAACCGGTCCCACTGGGGCCCTTTGACCCCCTCCTCTCGTTCAACAGAGAAGTCCCCCAGAGCTCCTCCCTCCCCTACCCCCACTGAACTATTTGCTCCACTTGCCGCCGCTTAGGAAACATTTTTTCCCCAGGGCTCAGCGGGTGCGTGAGTAAGTTGGCAAACGGTACAACGGCACCTCCAGGCGGTGATCAAGCAGATTTTAGGGAGAGGGGTCGGTGATGGGGCGCGTGCTTGAGGAATGCTTGCTGAGCGCAGGAGAAAAAGTTAAGAACGTTGATGCTTAGAAGGTGGCGATCAAACATTCTTCCAGTGCGAGAATCTATGGGTTTCATCGTAGGTTTCGTCTACAATGGAGAAGTACATTATACTCTGGGTCGTAGGAATCAGCGAGCTGCCTTACCACTAAAAATCTCGGAAATCAGCTGTGTATCCCCAAATTCCACACTATACTCTTCAATCATAGAGAATTCGCTAAGGAGCTAAGGCTTGAAATTCCGGGCGGCATCCCTTGCAGCCAACCACAAACAACAAGAGTTTGTTCATTTACCCCGTCGAGTGCACCGGCTAGCTCTTTGTGCAGGGTGTTGAGTGGATATGGTTCCACCGGCAAGATGTAGTCTGCCGGGTTTTTTTTGCTAAATTCACCGGAATATTGGTTGATAGACTCTAGATAATAAATCAGAGGCAAACAATTCTGCACTGCGTTTTTTCCATTAGGCTTCCTGGCGCTAGAAATAAAAAGAAACGTACCAGAACGCTTCAGAAAATTGGCACGCATTCTCAGGACTTAGTGAGCATCTATAGCTTTTCATAACTAATTTAAATGCTAATTTCAGGTAGTTTCCTTTCAGTCCTTTCGCACTTCCGAGCCAGCAGCACAGTGAATGGTCCGGAACAACCCCTTCGCAGTGTTTGTTGAATCTTCTGAAATGAACCGATGAGCGAGCTCCCCCTCAACCAGATCTGCCCCTCCTCCTCCCCCCATCCCCCTCAGGGCACTTCCTTATGCCTGTCTACTATGTATAAATAGCACCCATCCCGCGTTTGCTGCATTGCCTATGCAAACTTTGCGTCGCAGCCATGCACGTCGAGGTTGCGCCGCTGTATTTTCTGTTGTATCATTTGATCAGCTCTCATTCCGTGAAAGCGATGGAGAACACATCACTGGTAGGTTTTATTTAATTTGTAATATTTATATTTTATAGACCACAATTTCCTCAACAACGGAGCTCGCCCATATTCGCGCTAAACGCCAATTCATGGGAGGTTTTGGCGGCGGCTGTGGTTGTATGACTATGGCTGTCTGCCCTTGTGCGGTGCCAATTGCAATCCCACCCCCGATTCCACCACCTATCGTAAGTTTTGCGACGTAAATGCTTGCAAGAACTGGACTCAACATGACTAAACCTGGGTGTGGCCCCCCGGATGTTCTCACCCTAGGCTGATAAGAAAATGCTGCATTGTGTTTTTGTATGCAAAACGGTGAAAAATTCCTAGCGTGACGTCCACCTTAAAATTAAGCGAATTCAGGGCCTTATCTCGATCCCCAGGGGCGCTCATTCGCAAAAGCGGCTTTAAGATAAGCTTACGGTGGCTCTGTTAGACAACAGCTGGGGGCCCTCGACGGGGTTCCGGTCCGCCGAAATAGTTCTTAGTGACGCAAAATGTGAAATAAAAGGAGAGGGCGTATCTCCCTGATTCATGGGGGCGCCTGGGCCAAAAACGCAACGTGCGAGCATAAGCGGGAGAAGAGGTGTAAATGGGCACTAGGAAAAGCAATAAAACGCTCAAAGGGAACATTTTGGGGGTGACGGTTGGCTGGGCGTTGACATGATATGGGTTGCAGAGTATTGTACAAGTTTGGAAAATGGCAAAACAGGCAGGGGAACAGCTAGGTGGGCGTGGAGTCTGTAGATGGGGAAAGTATTATCATTAATGCGTAAATAAAATGATGCCAAGGCGCGAATACATTAATGAACTCTTCGATTCGATCTTTCGATGTTACAAACTCCTTTTTCAGTTTTTGATGCCACCCATGATGATGGGTGGAGGTTGTTGCGGATGTTGCCTACCTGTGTGCATGCCTGTTTGTATGCGAATGGGCTGCGGTGGAGGCTTCGGAGGCGGCTTCGGTGGCGGCTTCGGAGGCGGCTTCGGAGGCGGCTTTGGAGGTGGCTTCGGCGGCTGTGGAGGCTTCGGCGGCTATGGCAGGAAAAAACGCCACGCCCTGATGCAACGCAATGCCCCTGTCCTACAGTAATCTACCCTCTTATCATCACCATACCTTTATCCTAGATTGTCCACAAACCTACCGAAGAAACGATCTCTCCGCATCCTCGACGGCACCCGGACACGCCTCTAGCAATAATTTATCGCCGTTGCATCCCCTCCGCGACTTTTACGTGTAGCATAAAATTATGAGTCACAAACGCAGTGTATTTGCACATTGGATTGTTCTTATAATCGGAGGCTCTGTGATAAAATCAAGCGGATTGTAACCCCCAAAGCACCCGCGGGTCTCAACACGTTTCAAAGAAGAGCTTTTGTTGATTTTTTGCTTGGGCCAGTCGGAGCGGGCCTATCACTCATAAAAAATGCTGGACGTGAGGGTTATGGATGACGTGGCTGGGGTGGAGCTTCAGGACTTACAAGGCTCATCCGGTTCGATGTCTTCACTGATCGTCCTGAAAGTTAAAGATTTTGGACTTGTAGCAGGCCTGGTTATTGATTAATTGCTTATTTGCATATTGTCATACTGTATTTTATACATTAAAACCAGATTCGCTTACTTCCCCTTAATTTCCTTTAGTGTAAGCTTTTCTGACAAAATTAATGTGTTGAGTTTCTTTAGTTTCTTCATTTTCCATTCTACAAAATTAAAGCAATCTTGGAAAACCAATAGAATTATTGAATTTGGATTCAATAATTTTAAATTCCATCAAAATAAAGCCGATCTGGGCGTTTCCATTGGTCATAACATCGTTTTTTATTACCGGAAACTTTCCCTGGAGGTCAGCCCAAATAGCCACCACGTAAATATTTGCACCTACCAGAAATTACCCAACATTCGCCTCAATGAAAACGCCCAAATTCCGGCCGGCACGCAAAAGAACCCCTTTATTACCCTGATTACCCGTCGATGGCCCCGCCCCCGATTTCCACTAACTTTCAGAAAATTTGATCGCCCCATTCGAAGACGAGTTGATAAAAAGCCTTACTCCTTCCCCCACCCATCTCGCTTCCGAGACTGAACCCAGTCCGGTCATTTCCAGCCCCACACACCTCAGCCGATAATCTGCCCTCTGAGAAGATTATTTTGATAAAAAAACGTGCTAGCGTAAAATTCTTGGTCCGTCCTGCTTCGATATTCCGTTGTGTGCAACTGATCGTTTAGTGATCGCCCCACAGAAAGCACATATGCTAGGAACCGATCTGGGGACATAAGGTATGCAAAATTCTTATTAACTAACGAGAGCCTAGTGAAGATGGCAACTGCATCTTGGGATGTGGGCTCTGCAAAGGCCCGGATACGACGCTACCCACTTATAATTGTTGCTATCATCGTCCTGGTCGTCCTTGTGGCCGTCGGAATTACGCTTGCGATCATTTTCGGTACAAGAAAACATGGTGAGTTCAGGCTATCAGCCAAAAACTCCGAAATTGACATATGGACTGTCTGTTTTTATGCACAGGAGCAAGTTGAGCAATGAATATTTTAGTATTGTTGGATTTTGCCATCTAATATTTTCATACAATTTAGAGGCGCGTAAACCTATTCTGGCCAAAAATACACAGTTCGGACTTTCAACCAGTCTTCAAAATTTTGTAACTAGCGTGAAAACCAAAAATAGATAGATATAGCAGAACCTAATGCAGTATCACCAAAAAAGGCTCATACCCTAAATTAACAAATTCATAATCATCCTTTAAGACAACCACCCGAAAAAGGACGCTACCCTGCCGGATCAAACGATCACGTTCAGCCTCTACATGAAAGATTGGCAAACACCAGCCCCCCGGAGAAAAAGAGACGCTTCTTTCGGCGACTGCTTCAAGATGGTAAACCACAACTCACACTCTCAAATGATCTCCTTAGATGCAAGATGTCAACCAGGGCTTTTTGGATGAAATTCCAAAAGACCGTAACGCCATTATTTCTCTTATTGACGAAGACGGCTCCTCCACGCTCACACCCAGCGCCTTTTCATCTATGATGAAGCAAACGCCATCGGTCGCGGACACAAAACCTAGCCAAACCGCGTAAACTGATCAGAACTTAGACTACAACCCCGATTTAGAAGGTGGAAAGAAATGGCAGACCAGTCAAAACTACCAAACCTAATCTATTTCACACCATGCAGCGGGTAGGATTGAAAGTATTCTTATTTCTATTCCTACTCGTTTAGGAACGACGTCGACGACCTCAAAAAGGCGCTAGATAATTATGCTGATAAAGTCCATGCAAATGCTCCCGGTAAGTAAATCTAAACACTACAACCAACCGCCTAGGCGCCCCTGTGATGCTGATATCTGGCACCCTCAACACCCAGGATCTTCAGAAAATCTTGCCACCCAGTTTCAATGCCACTGCAAATGGAATGGACGCCAACATCACCGCCATCGTTAATCAGATCATCAACAATCTGCCGCCTGTCAGCACGGCAGCAACCACTTCGACCACAATCTTAACAACTGCTGGATCCACTATCAGCACCATTTCGACAACAACCGTGACCTTGACTACATTGACCACCAAGACCACAAGCCGGCCACCACCTGGATCCACAAGCACCACCACAAAAATCCCGACGGAATCCAGTACTTCAACCACTCCCCCAGTACCGAATGGCTCCACCAGCACGCAAACGAATGGAACCACACCATATCAAGGTTCGACCTCATCAATTCACGGCTACTCTGGATCTACCTCTCAACAGCCCAGGGCATCATCTCAAGGACCTTCTGGCTCGACGTCTCCCCAGCCAACTGGCTCCTCGCCATCTGGAGAATCGACGGCAACTTCTGACGGATTCTCTGGATCGACGTCTCCGCAGCCAACCGGCTCCTCGCCTTCTGGAGCATCGACGGCAACTTCTGAAAGATTCTCTGGATCGACGTCTCCTCAGCCAACTGGCTCCTCACCATCTGGAGGATCGACGGCAACTTCTGACGGATATTCGGGATCGACGTCGCCTCTGCCAACTGGCTCCTCGCCATCTGGAGGATCGACGGCAACTTCTGAAGGATTCTCTGGATCGACGTCTCCTCAGCCAACCGGCTCCTCACCATCTGGAGGATCGACGGCAACTTCTGAAGGATTCTCTGGATCGACGTCTCCTCAGCCAACTGGCTCCTCACCATCTGGAGGATCGACGGCAACTTCTGAAGGATTCTCTGGATCGACGTCTCCCCAGCCAACTGGCTCCTCACCATCTGGAGGATCGACGGCAACTTCCGAAGGATTCTCTGGATCGACGTCTCCTCAGCCAACTGGCTCCTCACCATCTGGAGGATCGACGGCAACTTCTGAAGGATTCTCTGGATCGACGTCTCCTCAGCCAACTGGCTCCTCACCATCTGGAGGATCGACGGCAACTTCTGACGGATATTCGGGATCGACGTCTCCTCTGCCAACTGGCTCCTCGCCATCTGGAGGATCGACGGCAACTTCTGAAGGATTCTCTGGATCGACGTCTCCGCAGCCAACCGGCTCCTCGCCATCTGTAGGATCGACGGCAACTTCTGAAGGATTCTCTGGATCGACGTCTCCTCAGCCAACTGGCTCCTCACCATCTGGAGGATCGACGGCAACTTCTGAAGGATTTTCTGGATCGACGTCTCCTCAGCCAACTCGCTCCTCGCCATCTGCAGGATCGACGGCAATTTCTGACGGATATTCGGGATCGACGTCTCCTCTGCCAACTGGCTCCTCACCATCTGCAGGATCGACGTCCTCATCTGAAGGATATTCTGGATCGACGTCTCCTCTGCCAACTGGCTCCTCGCCATCTGGAGGATCGACGGCAACTTCTGAAGGATTCTCTGGATCGACGTCTCCTCAACCAACTGGCTCCTCACCCTCTGGAGGATCGACGGCAACTTCTGAAGGATTCTCTGGATCGACGTCTCCTCAGCCAACTGGCTCCTCACCATCTGCAGGATCGACGTCCTCATCCGAAGGATATTCGGGATCGACGTCTCCTCAGCCAACTGGCTTCTCGCCATCTGGAGGATCGACGTCCTCATCTGAAGGATATTCTGGATCGACGTCTCCTCTGCCAACTGGCTCCTCGCCATCTGGAGGATCGACGGCAACTTCTGAAGGATTCTCTGGATCGACGTCTCCTCTGCCAGCTGGCTCCTCGCCATCTGGAGGATCGACGGCAACTTCTGAAGGATTCTCTGGATCGACGTCTCCTCAGCCAACTGGCTCCTCACCATCTGCAGGATCGACGTCCTCATCTGAAGGATTCTCTGGATCGACGTCTCCTCTGCCAACTGGCTCCTCGCCATCTGGAGGATCGACGGCAACTTCTGAAGGATTCTCTGGATCGACGTCTCCTCAGCCAACTGGCTCCTCACCATCTGCAGGATCGACGTCCTCATCTGAAGGATATTCTGGATCGACGTCTCCTCTACCAACTGGCTCCTCGCCATCTGTAGGATCGACGGCAACTTCTGAAGGATTCTCTGGATCGACATCTCCTCAGCCAACTGGCTCCTCACCATCTGGAGGATCGACGGCAACTTCTGAAGGATTCTCTGGATCGACGTCTCCTCAGCCAACTGGCTCCTCACCATCTGCAGGATCGACGGCAACTTCTGAAGGATTCTCTGGATCGACGTCTCCTCAGCCAACTGGCTCCTCACCATCTGGAGGATCGACGGCAACTTCTGAAGGATTTTCTGGTTCGACGTCTCCTCAGCCAAATGGCTCCTCACCATCTGCAGGATCGACGGCAACTTCTGAAGGATTCTCTGGATCGACGTCTCCTCAGCCAACTGGCTCCTCACCATCTGGAGGATCGACTGCAACTTCTGAAGGATTCTCTGGTTCGACGTCTCCTCAGCCAACTGGCTCCTCACCATCTGCAGGATCGACGGCAACTTCTGAAGGATTCTCTGGATCGACGTCTCCTCAGCCAACTGGCTCCTCGCCATCTGGAGCATCGACGGCAACTTCTGAAGGATTCTCTGGATCGACGTCTCCTCAGCCAACTGGCTCCTCACCATCTGGAGGATCGACGGCAACTTCTGAAGGATTCTCTGGATCGACGTCTCCTCAGCCAACTGGCTCCTCGCCATCTGCAGGATCGACGGCAACTTCTGAAGGATTCTCTGGATCGACGTCTCCTCAGCCAACTGGCTCCTCACCATCTGCAGGATCGACGGCAACTTCTGAAGGATTCTCTGGATCGACGTCTCCTCAGCCAACTGGCTCCTCACCATCTGCAGGATCGACGTCCTCATCTGAAGGATTCTCTGGATCGACGTCTCCTCAGCCAACTGGCTCCTCACCATCTGCAGGATCGACGTCCTCATCTGAAGGATTCTCTGGATCGACGTCTCCTCAGCCAACTGGCTCCTCGCCATCTGGAGCATCGACGGCAACTTCTGAAGGATTCTCTGGATCGACGTCTCCCCAGCCAACTGGCTCCTCACCATCTGGAGGATCGACGGCCACTTCTGAAGGATTCTCTGGATCGACGTCTCCTCAGCCAACTGGCTCCTCGCCATCTGGAGGATCGACGGCAACTTCTGAAGGATTCTCTGGATCGACGTCTCCTCAGCCAACTGGCTCCTCACCATCTGGAGGATCGACGGCAACTTCTGAAGGATTCTCTGGATCGACGTCTCCTCAGCCAACTGGCTCCTCACCATCTGGAGGATCGACGGCAACTTCTGAAGGATTCTCTGGATCGACGTCTCCCCAGCCAACTGGCTCCTCACCATCTGGAGGATCGACGGCAACTTCTGAAGGATTCTCTGGATCGACGTCTCCTCAGCCAACTGGCTCCTCACCATCTGGAGGATCGACGGCAACTTCTGAAAGATTCTCTGGATCGACGTCTCCTCAGCCAACTGGCTCCTCGCCATCTGCAGGATCGACGGCAACTTCTGAAGGATTCTCTGGATCGACGTCTCCCCAGCCAACTGGCTCCTCGCCATCTGGAGGATCGACGGCAACTTCTGAAGGATTCTCTGGATCGACGTCTCCTCAGCCAACTGGCTCCTCACCATCTGCAGGATCGACGGCAACTTCTGAAGGATTCTCTGGATCGACGTCTCCTCAGCCAACTGGCTCCTCACCATCTGGAGGATCGACGGCAACTTCTGAAGGATTCTCTGGATCGACGTCTCCTCAGCCAACTGGCTCCTCACCATCTGCAGGATCGACGGCCACTTCTGAAGGATTCTCTGGATCGACGTCTCCTCAGCCAACTGGCTCCTCGCCATCTGGAGGATCGACGGCAACTTCTGAAGGATTCTCTGGATCGACGTCTCCTCAGCCAACTGGCTCCTCACCATCTGGAGGATCGACGGCAACTTCTGAAGGATTCTCTGGATCGACGTCTCCTCAGCCAACTGGCTCCTCACCATCTGGAGGATCGACGGCAACTTCTGAAGGATTCTCTGGATCGACGTCTCCTCAGCCAACTGGCTCCTCACCATCTGCAGGATCGACGGCAACTTCTGAAGGATTCTCTGGATCGACGTCTCCCCAGCCAACTGGCTCCTCACCATCTGGAGGATCGACGGCAACTTCTGAAGGATTCTCTGGATCGACGTCTCCTCAGCCAACTGGCTCCTCACCATCTGGAGGATCGACGGCAACTTCTGAAGGATTCTCTGGATCGACGTCTCCTCAGCCAACTGGCTCCTCACCATCTGGAGGATCGACGGCAACTTCTGAAGGATTCTCTGGATCGACGTCTCCTCAGCCAACTGGCTCCTCACCATCTGGAGGATCGACGTCCTCATCTGAAGGATATTCTGGATCGACGTCTCCTCAGCCAACTGGCTCCTCACCATCTGGAGGATCGACGGCAACTTCTGAAGGATTCTCTGGATCGACGTCTCCTCAGCCAACTGGCTCCTCACCATCTGGAGGATCGACGTCCTCATCTGAAGGATTCTCTGGATCGACGTCTCCTCAGCCAACTGGCTCCTCACCATCTGGAGGATCGACGGCAACTTCTGAAGGATTCTCTGGATCGACGTCTCCTCAGCCAACCGGCTCCTCACCATCTGCAGGATCGACGGCAACTTCTGAAGGATTCTCTGGATCGACGTCTCCTCAGCCAACTGGCTCCTCACCATCTGGAGGATCGACGGCAACTTCTGAAGGATTCTCTGGATCGACGTCTCCTCAGCCAACTGGCTCCTCACCATCTGGGGATCGACGGCAACTTCTGAAGGATTCTCTGGATCGACGTCTCCTCAGCCAACTGGCTCCTCACCATCTGGAGGATCGACGGCAACTTCTGAAGGATTCTCTGGATCGACGTCTCCTCAGCCAACTGGCTCCTCACCATCTGGAGGATCGACGGCAACTTCTGAAGGATTCTCTGGATCGACGTCTCCTCAGCCAACCGTCTCCTCACCATCTGGAGGTTCGACGGCAACTTCTGAAGGATTCTCTGGATCGACGTCTCCTCAGCCAACTGGCTCCTCACCATCTGCAGGATCGACGGCAACTTCTGACGGATATTCGGGATCGACGTCTCCTCTGCCAACTGGCTCCTCACCATCTGCAGGATCGACGTCCTCATCTGAAGGATATTCTGGATCGACGTCTCCTCAGCCAACTGGCTCCTCACCATCTGCAGGATCGACGGCAACTTCTGAAGGATTCTCTGGATCGACGTCCCCTCAGCCAACCGTCTCCTCACCATCTGGAGGTTCGACGGCAACTTCTGAAGGATTCTCTGGATTGACGTCTCCTCAGCCAACTGGCTCCTCACCATCTGGAGGCTCGACGGCAACTTCTGAAGGATTCTCTGGATCGACGTCTCCTCAGCCAACTGGCTCCTCACCATCTGCAGGATCGACGGCAACTTCTGAAGGATTCTCTGGATCGACGTCTCCTCAGCCCACTGGCTCCTCACCATCTGGAGGCTCGACGGCAACTTCTGAAGGATTCTCTGGATTGACGTCTCCTCAGCCAACTGGCTCCTCACCATCTGGAGGCTCGACGGCAACTTCTGAAGGATTCTCTGGATCGACGTCTCCTCAGCCAACTGGCTCCTCACCATCTGGAGGATCGACGGCAACTTCTGAAGGATTCTCTGGATCGACGTCTCCTCAGCCCACTGGCTCCTCACCATCTGGAGGCTCGACGGCAACTTCTGAAGGATTCTCTGGATTGACGTCTCCTCAGCCAACTGGCTCCTCACCATCTGCAGGATCGACGGCAACTTCTGAAGGATTCTCTGGATTGACGTCTCCTCAGCCAACTGGCTCCTCACCATCTGCAGGATCGACGGCAACTTCTGAAGGATTCTCTGGATTGACTTCTCCTCAGCCAACTGGCTCCTCACCATCTGGAGGTTCGACGGCAACTTCTGAAGGATTCTCTGGATCGACGTCTCCTCAGCCCACTGGCTCCTCACCATCTGGAGGCTCGACGGCAACTTCTGAAGGACTCTCTGGATTGACGTCTCCTCAGCCAACTGGCTCCTCACCATCTGCAGGATCGACGGCAACTTCTGAAGGATTCTCTGGATCGACGTCTCCTCAGCCAACTGGCTCCTCACCATCTGCAGGATCGACGTCCTCATCTGAAGGATACTCTGGATCGACGTCTCCTCAGCCAACTGGCTCCTCACCATCTGGAGGATCGACGTCCTCATCTGAAGGATACTCTGGATCGACCACTCCGCAGCCATTCGCATCGTCACCAGGAGCCCCGGCATCGTCATCTGAAGGCTATTCTGGCTCCACCTCTTCGCAGCCTAACCACAGCCTGCGGACCGAGGGCTCGACGTCACCCTTAATTTCTTCAACCGCCGGCTCTACTGACGGTTCAACATCATGGTCTACAAATTCAGTTTTTACCACGTTGGTTACGGGCGGCTCGAGCACAGGTAGTTGATGAGCAGCTACCCATCCAAGCATGATCTCACATTTCGAATTTCCTCGGCTTAATAAAGGTTTTGGCTTTGCTGGTTCCCGCAGCTAACATAAATTTGCATGATTGCACGCATGGCTTTGCAAATAGAGAAAGGATTCTTCTGTTGTCAACCGTGGTTACCGGCCTGCAGTAGATAATGATGTTCGGTGCTGTCTTATGATATGTGGCCTGGTAAGTTATTGATTCATACACAATGCAATTCCCTCTGCGCAGATCGCTTTTGTTGGCCTCTTGATCGCGGGGGGCTTGACCTTCACACCAAGGCCCTTGCCATCCCGGCTGCTTTTGGTTGAAGCAGGGAATGGCGCGAAGGTCACCGGTTGGGGCGATTGGGCAGGGGGGCATCCAGGGGTTGATTGCCTCTAATATCGTCCGAGCTTTTCGGCGCCCGTAAGATCGATAGCATTTCAATGGCACAGCGCATGCGCTTTCGCCGCTATCGCTATTTCCAAACCCACCCTCGCGGAAAATCACGTCGTCACAAAGATTCTGCAGTTCGCCACAGGAAATTCTTGTTTCTCATCGTGCACCCGGCATCCAAGCGCCATTCCCATGATTCCGGCAGCATGCTTCACGTAACCTCCCCTTTCATCTTCCCATAATAAATTGGAGTATTCCTCTTTAGGATCGGTAACGACCACGTTCATGCCTTCGACGAGTGAGAATCCGACGACCGAACTGCACACGACAGAAGGAACGACCATCGGAACCTCTGAGACCACGGGTCAGCCGAGTTCGACGATTGTACCTTCATCCACAAGGCCGACGACCACTTGGATGCCTTCGACGAGTGAGAATCCGACGACCGAACTGCACACAACCGAAGGAACGACCATCGGAACCTCTGAGACCACGGGTCAGCCGAGTTCGACGATTGTACCTTCATCCACAATGCCAACGACCACTTGGATGCCTTCGACGAGTGAGAATCCGACAACCGAAATGTACACGACAGAAGGTACGACCATCGGAACCTCTGAGACCACGGGTCAGCCGAGTTCGACGATTGTACCTTTGTCCACAATGCCGACGACCACTTGGATGCCTTCGACGAGTGAGAATCCGACAACCGAAATGTACACGACAGAAGGTACGACCATCGGAACCTCTGAGACCACGGGTCAGCCGAGTTCGACGATTGTACCTTTGTCCACAATGCCGACGACCACTTGGATGCCTTCGACGAGTGAGAATCCGACAACCGAACTGTACACGACCGAAGGAACGACTATCGGAACCTCTGAGACCACGGGTCGGCCGAGTTCGACGATTGTACCTTCATCCACAATGCCGACGACCACTTGGATGCCTTCGACGAGTGAGAATCCGACGACCGAACTGCACACAACCGAAGGAACGACCATCGGAACCTCTGAGACCACGGGTCAGCCGAGTTCGACGATTGTACCTTCATCCACAATGCCGACGACCACTTGGATGCCTTCGACGAGTGAGAATCCGACGACCGAACTGCACACAACCGAAGGAACGGCCATCGGAACCTCTGAGACCACGGGTCAGCCGAGTTCGACGATTGTACCTTCATCCACAATGCCGACGACCACTTGGATGCCTTCGACGAGTGAGAATCCGACGACCGAACTGCACACGACAGAAGGAACGACCATCGGAACGTCTGAGACCACGGATCAGCCGAGTTCGACGATTGTACCTTCGTCCACAATGACGCCGACCACTTGGATGCCTTCGACGAGTGAGAGTCCGACAACCGAACTGTACACGACCGAAGGAACGACTATCGGAACCTCTGAGACCACGGGTCAGTCGAGTTCGACGATTGTAACATCCACAATGTCGACGACCACTTGGATGCCGTCGACGAGTGAGAATCCGACAACCGAACTGTACACGACCGAAGGAACGACTATCGGAACCTCTGAGACCACGGGTCAGCCGAGTTCGACGATTGTACCTTCATCCACAATGCCGACGACCACTTGGATGCCTTCGACGAGTGAGAATCCGACGACCGAACTGCACACAACCGAAGGAACGACCATCGGAACCTCTGAGACCACGGGTCAGCCGAGTTCGACGATTGTACCTTCATCCACAATGCCGACGACCACTTGGATGCCTTCGACGAGTGAGAATCCAACGACCGAACTGCACACGACAGAAGGAACGACCATCGGAACGTCTGAGACCACGGGTCAGCCGAGTTCGACGATTGTACCTTCATCCACAATGCCGACGACCACTTGGATGCCTTCGACGAGTGAGAATCCGACGACCGAACTGCACACAACCGAAGGAACGACCATCGGAACCTCTGAGACCACGGGTCAGCCGAGTTCGACGATTGTACCTTCATCCACAATGCCGACGACCACTTGGATGCCTTCGACGAGTGAGAATCCGACGACCGAACTGCACACGACAGAAGGAACGACCATCGGAACGTCTGAGACCACGGATCAGCCGAGTTCGACGATTGTACCTTCGTCCACAATGACGCCGACCACTTGGATGCCTTCGACGAGTGAGAGTCCGACAACCGAACTGCACACGACCGAAGGAACGACTATCGGAACCTCTGAGACCACGGGTCAGTCGAGTTCGACGATTGTACCTTCATCCACAAGGCCGACGACCACTTGGATGCCTTCGACGAGTGAGAATCCGACAACCGAACTGTACACGACCGAAGGAACGACTATCGGAACCTCTGAGACCACGGGTCAGCCGAGTTCGACGATTGTACCTTCATCCACAATGCCGACGACCACTTGGATGCCTTCGACGAGTGAGAATCCGACGACCGAACTGCACACAACCGAAGGAACGACCATCGGAACCTCTGAGACCACGGGTCAGCCGAGTTCGACGATTGTACCTTCATCCACAATGCCGACGACCACTTGGATGCCTTCGACGAGTGAGAATCCGACGACCGAACTGCACACGACAGAAGGAACGACCATCGGAACGTCTGAGACCACGGGTCAGCCGAGTTCGACGATTGTACCTTCGTCCACAATGCCGACGACCACTTCGATGCTTTCGACGAGTGAGAGTCCGACAACCGAACTGTACACGACCGAAGGAACGACTATCGGAACATCTGAGACCACGGGTCGGCCGAGTTCGACGATTGTACCTTCATCCAGAATGTCGACGACCACTTGGATGCCTTCGACGAGTGAGAATCCGACGACCGAACTGCACACGACAGAAGGAACGACCATCGGAACCTCTGAGACCACAGGTCAGCCGAGTTCGACGATTGTACCTTCATCCACAATGCCGACGACCACTTGGATGCCTTCGACGAGTGAGAATCCGACGACCGAACTGCACACAACCGAAGGAACGGCCATCGGAACCTCTGAGACCAGGGGTCAGCCGAGTTCGACGATTGTACCTTCATCCACAATGCCGACGACCACTTGGATGCCTTCGACGAGTGAGAATCCGACGACCGAACTGCACACGACAGAAGGAACGACCATCGGAACCTCTGAGACCACGGGTCAGCCGAGTTCGACGATTGTACCTTCGTCCACAATGCCGACGACCACTTGGATGCCTTCGACGAGTGAGAGTCCGACAACCGAACTGTACACGACCGAAGGAACGACCATCGGAACCTCTGAGACCACGGGTCAGCCGAGTTCGACGATTGTAACATCCACAATGCCGACGACCACTTGGATGCCGTCGACGAGTGAGAATCCGACAACCGAACTGCACACGACCGAAGGAACGACCATCGGAACCTCTGAGACCACGGGTCAGCCGAGTTCGACGATTGTACCTTCATCCACAATGCCGACGACCACTTGGATGCCTTCGACGAGTGAGAATCCGACGACCGAACTGCACACAACCGAAGGAACGACCATCGGAACCTCTGAGACCACGGGTCAGCCGAGTTCGACGATTGTACCTTCATCCACAATGCCGACGACCACTTGGATGCCTTCGACGAGTGAGAATCCGACGACCGAACTGCACACGACAGAAGGAACGACCATCGGAACGTCTGAGACCACGGATCAGCCGAGTTCGACGATTGTACCTTCGTCCACAATGCCGACGACCACTTCGATGCCTTCGACGAGTGAGAATCCGACAACCGAACTGTACACGACCGAAGGAACGACTATCGGAACCTCTGAGACCACGGGTCAGCCGAGTTCGACGATTGTACCTTCATCCACAATGCCGACGACCACTTGGATGCCTTCGACGAGTGAGAATCCGACGACCGAACTGCACACAACCGGAGGAACGACCATCGGAACCTCTGAGACCACCGGTCAGCCGAGTTCGACGATTGTACCTTCATCCACAATGCCGACGACCACTTGGATGCCTTCGACGAGTGAGAATCCGACGACCGAACTGCACACGTCAGAAGGAACGACCATCGGAACGTCTGAGACCACGGATCAGCCGAGTTCGACGATTGTACCTTCGTCCACAATGACGCCGACCACTTGGATGCCTTCGACGAGTGAGAGTCCGACAACCGAACTGTACACGACCGAAGGAACGACTATCGGAACCTCTGAGACCACGGGTCAGTCGAGTTCGACGATTGTAACATCCACAATGTCGACGACCACTTGGATGCCGTCGACGAGTGAGAATCCGACAACCGAACTGTACACGACCGAAGGAACGACTATCGGAACCTCTGAGACCACGGGTCAGCCGAGTTCGACGATTGTACCTTCATCCACAATGCCGACGACCACTTGGATGCCTTCGACGAGTGAGAATCCGACGACCGAACTGCACACGACAGAAGGAACGACCATCGGAACGTCTGAGACCACGGATCAGCCGAGTTCGACGATTGTACCTTCGTCCACAATGACGCCGACCACTTGGATGCCTTCGACGAGTGAGAGTCCGACCACCGAACTGTACACGACCGAAGGAACGACCATCGGAACCTCTGAGACCACGGGTCAGTCGAGTTCGACGATTGTAACATTCACAATGTCGACGACCACTTGGATGCCGTCGACGAGTGAGAATCCGACAACCGAACTGTACACGACCGAAGGAACGACTATCGGAACCTCTGAGACCACGGGTCAGCCGAGTTCGACGATTGTACCTTCATCCACAATGCCGACGACCACTTGGATGCCTTCGACGAGTGAGAATCCGACGACCGAACTGCACACAACCGAAGGAACGACCATCGGAACCTCTGAGACCACGGGTCAGCCGAGTTCGACGATTGTACCTTCGTCCACAATGCCGACGACCACTTCGATGCTTTCGACGAGTGAGAGTCCGACAACCGAACTGTACACGACCGAAGGAACGACTATCGGAACATCTGAGACGACGGGTCAGTTGAGTTCGACGATTGTAACATCCAGAATGTCGACGACCACTTGGATGCCTTCGACGAGTGAGAATCCGACGACCGAACTGCACACGACAGAAGGAACGACCATCGGAACCTCTGAGACCACAGGTCAGCCGAGTTCGACGATTGTACCTTCATCCACAATGCCGACGACCACTTGGATGCCGTCGACGAGTGAGAATCCGACAACCGAACTGTACACGACCGAAGGAACGACTATCGGAACCTCTGAGACCACGGGTCAGCCGAGTTCGACGATTGTACCTTCGTCCACAATGCCGACGACCACTTGGATGCCTTCGACGATTGACAATCCGACGACCGAACCGCACACGACAGAAGGAACGACCATCGGAACCTCTGAGACTACGGGTCAGCCGAGTTCGACGATTGTACCTTCGTCCACAATGCCGACGACCACTTGGATGCCTTCGACAAGTGAGAATCCGACGACCGAACCGCACACGACAGTAGGAACGACCATCGGAACCTCTGAGACTACGGGTCAGCCGAGTTCGACGATTGTACCTTCGTCCACAATGCCGACGACCACTTGGATGCCTTCGACAAGTGATAGTCCGACAACCGAACTGTACACGACCGAAGGAACGACTATCGGAACCTCTGAGACGACGGGTCAGTTGAGTTCGACGATTGTAACATCCAGAATGTCGACGACCACTTGGATGCCTTCGACGAGTGATAATCCGACGACCGAACTGTACACGACAGAAGGAACGACCATCGGAACCTCTGAGACCACGGGTCAGCCGAATTCGACGATTGTACCTTCATCCACAATGCTTACGACCACTTGGATGCCTTCGACGAGTGAGAATCCGACAACCGAACTGTACACGACCGAAGGAACGACTATCGGAACCTCTGAGACCACGGGTCGGCCGAGTTCGACGATTGTACCTTCATCCACAATGCCGACGACCACTTGGATGCCTTCGACGAGTGAGAGTCCGACAACCGAACCGCACACGACGGTAGGAACGACCATCGGAACCTCTGAGACTACGGGTCAGCCGAGTTCGACGATTGTACCTTCGTCCACAATGCCGACGACCACTTGGATGCCTTCGACGAGTGAGAGTCCGACAACCGAACTGTACACGACCGAAGGAACGACTATCGGAACCTCTGAGACGACGGGTCAGTTGAGTTCGACGATTGTAACATCCAGAATGTCGACGACCACTTGGATGCCTTCGACGAGTGACAATCCGACGACCGAACTGTACACGACAGAAGGAACGACCATCGGAACCTCTGAGACCACGGGTCAGCCGAATTCGACGATTGTACCTTCATCCACAATGCCGACGACCACTTGGATGCCTTCGACGAGTGAGAATCCGACAACCGAACTGTACACGACCGAAGGAACGACTATCGGAACCTCTGAGACGACGGGTCAGTTGAGTTCGACGATTGTAACATCCAGAATGTCGACGACCACTTGGTTGCCTTCGACGAGTGACAATCCGACGACCGAACTGCACACGACAGCAGGAACGACCATCGGAACCTCTGAGACCACAGGTCAGCCGGGTTCGACGATTGTACCTTCATCCACAATGCCGACGACCACTTGGATGCCGTCGACGAGTGAGAATCCGACAACCGAACTGTACACGACCGAAGGAACGACTATCGGAACCTCTGAGACCACGGGTCAGCCGAGTTCGACGATTGTACCTTCGTCCACAATGCCGACGACCACTTGGATGCCTTCGACGAGCGAGAATCCGACGACCGAACTGCACACGACAGAAGGAACGACCATCGGAACGTCTGAGACCACGGATCAGCCGAGTTCGACGATTGTACCTTCGTCCACAATGCCGACGACCACTTCGATGCCTTCGACGAGTGAGAGTCCGACAACCGAACTGTACACGACCGAAGGAACGACTATCGGAATCTCTGAGACGACGGGTCAGTTGAGTTCGACGATTGTAACATCCAGAATGTCGACGACCACTTGGATGCCTTCGACGAGTGAGAATCCGACGACCGAACTGCACACGACAGAAGGAACGACCATCGGAACCTCTGAGACCACAGGTCAGCCGAGTTCGACGATTGTACCTTCATCCACAATGCCGACCACCACTTGGATGCCGTCGACGAGTGAGAATCCGACGACCGAACCGCACACGACAGAAGGAACGACCATCGGAACCTCTGAGACTACGGGTCAGCCGAGTTCGACGATTGTACCTTCGTCCACAATGCCGACGACCACTTGGATGCCTTCGACGATTGACAATCCGACGACCGAACCGCACACGACAGAAGGAACGACCATCGGAACCTCTGAGACTACGGGTCAGCCGAGTTCGACGATTGTACCTTCGTCCACAATGCCGACGACCACTTGGATGCCTTCGACAAGTGAGAATCCGACGACCGAACCGCACACGACAGTAGGAACGACCATCGGAACCTCTGAGACTACGGGTCAGCCGAGTTCGACGATTGTACCTTCGTCCACAATGCCGACGACCACTTGGATGCCTTCGACGAGCGACAATCCGACGACCGAACTGCACACGACAGAAGGAACGACCATCGGAACCTCTGAGACCACGGGTCAGCCGAGTTCGACGATTGTACCTTCATCCACAATGCCGACGACCACTTGGATGCCTTCGACGAGTGAGAATCCGACAACCGAACTGTACACGACCGAAGGAACGACCATGGGAACCTCTGAGACCACGGGTCAGCCAAGTTCGACGATTGTACCTTCATCCACAATGGCGACGACCACTTGGATGCCTTCGACGAGTGAGAATCCGACGACCGAACTGCACACGACAGAAGGAACGACCATCGGAACCTCTGAGACCACGGGTCAGGCGAGTTCGACGATTGCACCTTCGTCCACAATGCCGACGACCACTTGGATGCCTTCGACGAGCGACAATCCGACGACCGAACTGCACACGACAGAAGGAACGACCATCGGAACCTCTGAGACCACGGGTCAGCCGAGTTCGACAATTGTACCTTCATCCACAATGCCGACGACCACTTGGATGCCTTCGACGAGTGAGAATCCGACAACCGAACTGTACACGACCGAAGGAACGACTATCGGAACCTCTGAGACCACGGGTCAGCCGAGTTCGACGATTGTACCTTCATCCACAATGCCGACGACCACTTGGATGCCTTCGACGAGTGAGAATCCGACGACCGAACCGCACACGACAGAAGGAACGACCATCGGAACCTCTGAGACCACGGGTCAGCCAAGTTCGACGATTGTACCTTCATCCACAATGCCGACGACCACTTGGATGCCTTCGACGAGTGACAATCCGACGACCGAACTGCACACGACAGAAGGAACGACCATCGGAACCTCTGAGACCACGGGTCAGCCAAGTTCGACGATTGTACCTTCATCCACAATGCCGACGACCACTTGGATGCCTTCGACGAGTGAGAATCCGACAACCGAACTGTACACGACCGAAGGAACGACTATCGAAACCTCTGAGACCACGGGTCGGCCGAGTTCGACGATTGTACCTTCATCCACAATGCCGACGACCACTTGGATGCCTTCGACAAGTGAGAATCCGACGACCGAACCGCACACGACAGAAGGAACGACCATCGGAACCTCTGAGACCACGGGTCAGCCAAGTTCGACGATTGTACCTTCATCCACAATGCCGACGACCACTTGGATGCCTTCGACGAGTGACAATCCGACGACCGAACTGCACACGACAGAAGGAACGACCATCGGAACCTCTGAGACCACGGGTCAGCCAAGTTCGACGATTGTACCTTCATCCACAATGCCGACGACCACTTGGATGCCTTCGACGAGTGAGAATCCGACAACCGAACTGTACACGACCGAAGGAACGACTATCGAAACCTCTGAGACCACGGGTCGGCCGAGTTCGACGATTGTACCTTCATCCACAATGCCGACGACCACTTGGATGCCTTCGACAAGTGAGAATCCGACGACCGAACCGCACACGACAGAAGGAACGACCATCGGAACCTCTGAGACCACGGGTCAGCCGAGTTCGACGATGGTACCTTCATCCACAATGCCGACGACCACTTGGATGCCTTCGACGAGTGAGAATGCGACAACCGAACTGTACACGACCGAAGGAACGACTATCGGAACCTCTGAGACCACGGGTCAGCTTAGTTCGACGATTGTACCTTCATCCACAATGCCGACGACCACTTGGATGCCTTCAACGAGTGAGAATCCGACAACCGAACTGTACACGACCGAAGGAACGACTATCGGAACCTCTGAGACCACGGGTCAGCCGAGTTCGACGATTGTACCTTCATCCACAATGTCGAGGACCACTTGGATGCCTTCGACGAGTGACAATCCGACGACCGAACTGCACACGACCGAAGGAACGACCATTGGAATCTCTGAGACCACGGGTCAGCCAAGTTCGACGATTGTACCTTCATCCACAATGCCGACGACCACTTGGATGCCTTCGACGAGTGAGAATCCGACAACCGAACTGTACACGACCGAAGGAACGACCATCGGAACCTCTGAGACCACCGGTCAGCCGAGTTCGACGATTGTACCTTCATCCACAATGCCGACGACCACTTGGATGCCTTCGACGAGTGAGAATCCGACAACCGAAATGTACACGACAGAAGGTACGGCCATCGGAACCTCTGAGACCACGGGTCAGCCGAGTTCGACGATTGTACCTTCATCTACAATGGCGACGACCACTTGGATGCCTTCGACGAGTGAGAATCCGACGACCGAACTGCACACGACAGAAGGAACGACCATCGGAACCTCTGAGAGCACGGGTCAGCCAAGTTCGACAATTGTACCTTCATCCACAATGGCGACGACCACTTGGATGCCTTCGACGAGTGAGAATCCGACGACCGAACTGCACACGACAGAAGGAACGACCATCGGAACCTCTGAGACCACGGGTCAGCCGAGTTCGACGATTGTACCTTCATCCACAATGCCGACGACCACTTGGTTGCCTTCGACGAGTGAGAATCCGACAACCGAAATGTACACGACAGAAGGAACGACCATCGGAACCTCTGAGACCGCGGGTCAGCCGAGTTCGACGATTGTACCTTCGTCCACAATGCCGACGACCACTTGGATGCCTTCGATGAGTGAGAATCCGACGACCGAACTGTACACGACAGAAGGAACGACCATCGGAACCTCTGAGACCACGGGTCAGCCGAGTTCGACGATTGTACTTTCGTCCACAATGCCGACGACCACTTGGATGCCTTCGATGAGTGAGAATCCGACGACCGAACTGTACACGACAGAAGGAACGACCATCGGAACCTCTGAGACCACGGGTCAGCCGAGTTCGACGATTGTAACTTCATCCATAATGCCGACGACCACTTGGATGCCTTCGACGAGTGAGAATCCGACGACCGAACCGCACACGACAGAAGGAACGACCATCGGAGCTTTTGAGACCACGGGTCAGCCGGGTTCGACGATTGTACCTTCATCCACAATGCCGACGACCACTTGGATGCCTTCGACGAGTGACAATCCGACGACCGAACTGCACACGACAGAAGGAACGACCATCGGAACCTCTGAGACCACGGGTCAGCCAAGTTCGACGATTGTACCTTCATCCACAATGGCGACAACCACTTGGATGCCTTCGACGAGTGAGAATCCGACGACCGAACTGCACACGACAGAAGGAACGACCATCGGAACGTCTGAGACCACGGGTCAGCCGAGTTCGACGATTGTACCTTCATCCACAATGCCGACGACCACTTGGATGCCTTCGACGAGTGACAATCCGACGACCGAACTGTACACGACAGAAGGAACGACTATCGGAACCTCTGAGACCACGGGTCAGCCAAGTTCGACGATTGTACCTTCGTCCACAATGCCGACGACCACTTGGATGCCTTCGACGAGTGAGAATCCGACGACCGAACTGTACACGACAGAAGGAACGACCATCGGAACCTCTGAGACCACGGGTCAGCCGAGTTCGACGATTGTAACTTCATCCATAATGCCGACGACCACTTGGATGCCTTCGACGAGTGAGAATCCGACGACCGAACCGCACACGACAGAAGGAACGACCATCGGAGCTTTTGAGACCACGGGTCAGCCGGGTTCGACGATTGTACCTTCATCCACAATGCCGACGACCACTTGGATGCCTTCGACGAGTGACAATCCGACGACCGAACTGCACACGACAGAAGGAACGACCATCGGAACCTCTGAGACCACGGGTCAGCCAAGTTCGACGATTGTACCTTCATCCACAATGGCGACAACCACTTGGATGCCTTCGACGAGTGAGAATCCGACGACCGAACTGCACACGACAGAAGGAACGACCATCGGAACGTCTGAGACCACGGGTCAGCCGAGTTCGACGATTGTACCTTCATCCACAATGCCGACGACCACTTGGATGCCTTCGACGAGTGACAATCCGACGACCGAACTGTACACGACAGAAGGAACGACTATCGGAACCTCTGAGACCACGGGTCAGCCAAGTTCGACGATTGTACCTTCGTCCACAATGCCGACGACCACTTGGATGCCTTCGACGAGTGAGAATCCGACGACCGAACTGTACACGACAGAAGGAACGACCATCGGAACCTCTGAGACCACGGGTCAGCCGAGTTCGACGATTGTAACTTCATCCATAATGCCGACGACCACTTGGATGCCTTCGACGAGTGAGAATCCGACGACCGAACCGCACACGACAGAAGGAACGACCATCGGAACCTCTGAGACCACGGGTCAGCCGAGTTCGACGATTGTACCTTCATCCACAATGCCGACCACCACTTGGATGCCTTCGACGACGGAGAATCCGACAACCGAACTGTTCACGATACATTCATCCACAATGCCGACGATCGCTCGGATGCCTTCGATGAGTGAAAGCCCGACTGTCGATAACTGAAGCTGAATACATTTGAATGTATTTCGATTACGCGCCAATTTATAGTTATTACGTCCTTATAGTGCTATTCCTCCGATAGTTGTTGTAGCTGAGGGAGACAAGGGGTAACCCATTTAGCTCGCCCTCCGCCCCTCTGCGTCTCCTCTGCCTCAACAACTATCAAGGTCATCGCGCTACCCTGAAATTTCCGCCTCCCACGCGCTTACGCTGAAATGTGTTTGCTAGTCCGATTTGGATGCTTAGAGATTCGTTGACGTTTTTTTGCTTGTTAGCGTTGGTTAGGAAATGATCAAAAATAAAAGCTACTCAGAATTTTTCGCCTAATTTTCCTTTTTCTTTCTCCAAAATTGTGTTTGCGGTTTGTCGATTTTGGCGGTTTTGAGGGGAAACCATTGATTTTGTTGGTGGATATTTTGGGGGTTGCAGTCGCTATGGTGCCTATTGTGAGCGCGATCAATAGGCATGGGCTTGCGAGTTCGCCCTCGAGCGCTCATAAATGGCCCGTACGCGCTTGAAATGTGTTGAGGGGGGCCTTCTATGGGTTTGATTTGTGCACATATATACCATGCTCAAGTCTTTAATAAATATTTTTCTCTTTTCCGGCCTCTTTTATTAATTGCACACCGTGAGCGGGGAACTTCCAGAATTCAATGTTATGCACGCCGACCGGCTAGTCTTGCAAATACCAGCGCTGGTGATCGCGATTATTGGGTTTATCTTGGTTTGGGTTTCGCTAGCTACACCCGCTTGGCAGGTAAGCAACAGCTGGGAGCAAATAGTGCGTTCATATGTCCCTAGGTCACTTATGCGCGGGAATTGCAACAATGGGTGCAGAGCGGATTATGGATTAACTGCCAGACAAGGTTTGGGAAACCGTTGCGCCTGACATTTATGATTTAGGCCTGCTGGCATGTACACCTGCACCTATACCTTCAATGAATATGATTTTGATTTCTATTCGTCAGCTGAGGTGGTTAGCATGAGAACACCGCCATTTTATTGTGAGTAACGGTGATTTTTTTTGTCAAATTATATTAGTTTGGCAGCGAACACTTCTCCATATTTTTGTGGCGGGCCAAGTGATCGCGTTGGGATCGTTCATAACATTTTGCATCTCTAATTCTGATGTTCGTGCCACACAGCGATGCTCAACATTTATGTTCAGTGCATTGATAGGGCTCACAAGTGAGTTGAATATAGGAATTCGATAACTATAATTTCAGCTTTAATCTGCTATGGATGCCTGTTGGTATTTTCGGTCTTTGCTCACATGGTTAAATATCGATTTTATACAGTGTCCGTGAGTGGCATTTATGAGGTAAGGGCCTTTTTACCTTTTTTGACCACATGATCGCCATAGAAATTTGATAGTTGCCGCAAAGCACCTTTTTCAGAAGCATCACGGCTATTCTTTCTATTTCGCCCTAACCGGTGCTCTCTTCTACACGGTCTCCTTTATCGTCTCGTTATTGTACGCATTCAAATCGTTACGAGCCGACCGTTACGGGTATGCCGGGTCAAGCCAACAAACGATCACCGGCTATAGGGTGAGCGCTTATATATTATTTGTTTCAATTTCTATTCCCTAGGCCGACTCCGGCTCCGGGCATTTCACTCCAGAACCTTGGACCCCATTTAGGGCAACGACTACCGTCTGACCGACGAAGATCTGTTTGCGATGAGAGAATTGCCTGCTGTGCCTAAATATAGATACTAACCCGGGTGACAATTGGTTGCTGTTCTACTAATCGTGCAAATTATTGTGGCGCTAACTGTAAAATAATGAATAATTTTTTTTCTAACATGACTCGATGCAGTTTTAAATTTATTGCGTACTTGCCCTACCATAACTATTTGTTGTCATGTGACTGTCTTTCGCAACAAACCTTACGTCGGGAATAAACACTTTTTGCCCAATTTGACTTCATCCACTTCACGCACTGGTGCTTTCCAAGGCGCTATTTGAATCGATTTGCGGTCATTGAAGGGTTGGGGGAGGAAGGTCTGGCGGGGCTCCAAGGGCCGATCCGAATCCATGCAAAGATGCATTCCTTCGAAGGTCGCGATCCCTCGTTGGGATAGTCGGCTCTGTCGACTCTAAATTTCACACGAGCCCTCTTCGCCCGGGCGCAGGGCGAGAGCTCAAGATAAATGTTTCGACTGACCTGAAATCGGCTTCCCATACTGATCGCGGATTATTTAGCATTAGTAATCAAAACCATCTTTTAGAACGAAAAGCTAAATCATTTTATTTTGGATGTAAGGTGTAATGCGCGTTTATTCTATTTTCTTACGTAATTATTTCCAGGATGATTGACCTAAGCACCCGGTTGTCTAAAACTATAGCGGCTGGCGCCGCTTCAATTTTGGTAGCAAACTTTTTCACCTTCATCGGAATGGTTACGCCCGCTTGGCAGGTTCGTGTCATTTTCTCTTTTTCTGATCTACTCAAAAAATCCCAGGTTGCTGAAGATACCGATGTAAATCGGTACGTCCAGAGTGGCCTCTGGATCTACTGTACCCAGGGGTCTCAATGTTGGTATATCTTCAGCGACAATTTGATCAACTATTATGAGCGGGTTTGTATTATTTTCAAGTTCTCATTGGCTGCATTTTCAGGTGGACGTCTGCCGTTTTATGCTTATTGGTGATTGCCGAAAGAAACTGCTCAGGACACCATACTTTTTTGGTATCTTATAGCAAGCTTTAAACTTAAAGTAATTCAGGTTGGCACTACGCGTGCCTTAGCTTGGTATGTGTCGCGCTGTTATTTGGCACGGCCGCGTTTATTGTGTCTATTTGGGGAATGTACAAAAAAGACAAACTCAGGATGCTCACAATTTTGCTGGATGTATTTGTTTTCATGCAGTGTAAGCTCTCAATATACCCACATTTTTCCTTTCAGTTATTTTCATGGTTATCGCGCTCACGGTTTTTGTGGTCAACGCAGAAATGCTCGAATCAAAGTATTTGATCGGAGTCAAAAACACTTTCGAGGTAAGAATTTTCCGTTAGCTCTGCTAAATATCGTTTAGAAACACTATGGCTACTCCTTTTTCCTTTGCTGTATCGCGCTTTTTATTTTGAGCTTCACCTGTTTGGCGGCCATTTTGCAGACAACATTCGTATTCTTTGCAAAGGAAGCTGCCCTTGTCACATTGAAGCAAAGAGGCAAATTTTGCGATAAAATCAAGATTTTAAATGTTTGTTTAGCTGAGCATCGGAAATCTCAATACATGGAAAGACCGATGCACTATCCCGAAACAGCATATCGGCATGGGGACCAACTTCGGACCCTGAATTCGCCATCAATATTAAAGGTAGATCGTGCAGTCAGGGTCCCAAAGTTTTTTTAGACACCAATAGATGACGTCCAACGTTCCGTTACCCCGGTCTCAGTTGCACCATCTTACGTTGGTCAATTCATTCCCGGTCAATATGGCCGAAACGGCGAATTCCAACCGGTTACCAGACATTATTTGAGTTATTGACGCTGTGTTGCGAATAAAATGTCCACTGAATTATACCGCAGCCTGCTCGGGAACACATCACGCTGAGGGAAACAGGGGGATGGGCAAACAATTTTGTCTGTTTTTTGAGTGCTGCAAACTGCTGGTTGGGGAATTGCGGGCGGGGGGGGGGGCAAAGGAGTTTTAGGCGCACGTGTAAACCAATTCTGACACAGGCTAGAAAATAATAAGCATGTCCAAAACGAAAATTTCCCATGCATAAAGCTTCCAAAATAAGCTACACTTCACGGCTCGCCACTCGCTCTGTGTCTTAAGATTTCGGAAATCCTGAGCACGCTCGAGTGGCCGCCGCGCACGCGCTGTTATGGGGTAATTATTTCCATTACCCCGGCTTCTTGTTTCAAGGCCCCACCCTTCTAAGGCCCCCACAAAGAGTCCGAAGATGGCCGAATTCACACGCTTACTTGAATAAATACGCCCCGCTCCCGCCGCCACCTAGTCTCACTTTGGAAAGAGCTTTGAAATTGGATCCGACTGGTTTTTGGTGTGGCTATATTCCTGTGTTGGTGATATCCTGGACGGGGTGGCGCAACTCCGACTGTCACAAAAGATCCATTGTAGCGCGGGGCACTCAGCTGAGCGGTTGCCTGGAAATAGTCCATACTTCCATTCCGAGTATTTGGGTCCTACACTTCTGGGTGATGTCGAAAACGATGTTGGTGTCGAAGGATGAGGTATCGCATCCGGACGAAACTCCAAGGGATGGTTTGTTATTTGGAGGGAATTTATTGGTGTACTTTAGCGGAATCCGTCGTCGTTTCGATGGATGAGAAAATCGAGATTCCTTATCGTAACTACTCAAAAGAAAATTTCGACCGTGTTTATTACTTTGGCTTTACAGATGAGTGAGTTTCTTCTTTGTGTTGTTAAATTTCTTTTGCAAAATTATTTCTGATTTAATGTCTTTACAATTTTTGGTTACATTGGTACGAACAATGTTCGAGCAGGCGGAATATTAATTGCATTAATAGAAAAGCTTGCTCTTCCACTTCTTCAGTCCCTTAGGAAGTATTTTCGTTACTGCTTTACTTTACGCCTCTGTGGTTAAATCTCACGTGCTTTCAAATGAGTTGGCAATAGTGGGCAATCCAGCTGTTAGCGGAAGATAGATATTGCCCAAATTTCCGTGTATAGGCCTGGGGGAGGGGAGAGGGGGTATTGTCAGGCTCCTTGTGCTCCATTGTGTGCACCTGGACGCGTCCGTTCGTCGGGTTCGAATCGAGCCTCCTCGGCTCGCACCCCCTCTGGAGGAGAGCCATTCATTGATCGACAGTCCGACGACCTCGAAACCCCAGGCTCACCCCTATGGGCTGGCGACACGCAGGGGGACCAGCCCTACCATTAGCACCAAACTGACGGTTCTTTTTCAAATAGTTTTCTTAAGAAATAGAATAAAATTGCATTTCGTAGTATGCAAATTGGGTCCTGTTGCTGTGTCTGTCCCGTGATTTGCACCTTTGTATCTTTTGGTCCGTTGATTAGTTTATTTAAGCAAGATTAAAACATTAAAACAGCTATAGCCTAAATATTCCACTCAAAAATATGCAAGACTTTCCCGACTCTAATGTATTTTTCTAGAATGTCCGAACGAGGTAAGCGGACCGGGACAACGGTTGTCCTAGTCGCATCACTTCTATTAGTGATTGTTGCTTGTGGACTTTCGATTGGAGGCCTTCTAAGCCCGTCTTGGCAAGTCGTCAACATCAAGGAATTCAGGGCCGAGCATCATGTAATTCATTAATGATCTTCCTCTAAATTTACTTTTAGCACGGTCTCTGGCTGGATTGTACGCGGCCGGAACTGCAATATGCTGTTTTCAAAGGAATTTCTGAAGGCATGCCACTGCATTGTACCTATAAGTTCGATCGATCTGCGAGCCAGGTAGGCAATACAAATAATAGAGTTACTAATGTTTTTAGGTAATCGACGAAAATATTGGGGATATCGATGAAAATAGCGCGGCAGGGGAAAGCGAGCATCATCAGTTTTTTGGTGAGGGTTGCTTTCATGTGAAATGATTCGATTCAGGCTGGCACAAGGCGGTGTTGGTCACGATTATGGCTTCACTGTTCTTTGCGGTACTTTCACTCTGCTCGGGCCTATGTGCGCCATGCAATGGCGGATGCTCAGTGATCTATGCTATATTGGTATTTCTGGCATGTAAGTTCCTAATACCGTATATTATGATAAAATTTTTAGTTTTCCTATCTCTCCTTGGTGATGGTATCTTTTTCTTTGCGGCTCATCGCGTTGATAATCGGTTTGTGCAAGGGCTTGTTGGAACCTATGAGGTAGACTTTGTATATTTGTCTTTGACCCCATTTTAGCAAGAGATCGGGCATGCATTTGCTCTCCATGGCGCGGGAACGGTGCTGTTCCTATTGGCATGGCTGGTGTCTGTTGCGGCTACCTACAAGTTACTGCGTACGACACACGAACGACCATCTTTACCGTTAAAAGAATTGGCACCGTTTTATGGAAACCGGAATAGATATTAGATCCCCAAAAGGGTCATACACCGTTCACTAGATTACGGTAGCTCCAGATGTTAATCAGAATTACCCCTTCGTCCCAAGTTAGCAAATTTCATCTTATGTAATCCGCCACATTGCCATGACTTAAAGTCCTTCATCCAAAAAACACGTGACGTACATTGTTTTAAACGTTTTGGATCTCTACCTGACCTATGGAACTTACCTCTAAATGTATTACTTATTTCCATGCGCCAAACGGGTTCATCCAAATAAATGGCTTGCCGTTCGAAATGGACATAAACATCATGGTACAATGTAACCCGAGCAGCCGGGTGCCGATCATCGTCGTCCGAAAAAATCGGCAGATTTTTGGTAGCCGGCGGAATGGGTGGACTGATTGCCCAGCCGGCGAACGTCCTGCCGGGGCGTGATTTTTTGCCGAAGATTCCACGGATTTTGCAACTCGGCTCCGTTCGTGGTGTGGATTTTAGCGGTGAAAAAATCCTTGGAATGGGGACTTTTGAAAAAGTCATGAAGCCTTTGGATAAAGTTGACGCGGTGGGAGGTTCCAGTCATTTTTGTTGGAGTCCTTTAGGATATTCAGCTGGATTACCAGTATTGTTCCTTGTTGCCACAAACTATTCATTAAATATTCATTAAGAAGATTACATTAATTCACTTTGCACTAACCCATAGTTTCTTGCAAGCCGGCCGGTTAAAAGAGTAGATATTGGCTGCTAAAGTCAGGGTGGCTGGCATAGTTAGCACGAAGCCGGAAATTATTTAAAATGCAAATCATATGTGAAACAACCCTAGATCTCCTAAAGCTTGGATCCTAGATCCCATCTTTTGCTCCAGATTTATGATCAGACCCTTCTGGAATTGCCATAGCCCGCCCGCGAACTCTGACCAGCCTGCCGTCCGAATTCTAGTTTCTAATAATATCTGATTCGTTGCTGAACACCTAATTTTTCGGCGTGGTCCCGTTTTTCTAAAATATATAAGGCTGTCTCGACGTCCACTGCCGGGGGACTGCGACAGAGAAGTGGTGGACACGCAGATGTGCACACAAAATCATGTGGAGCTTGGAAGAATTTTTTCGGGAGCCTCCGAACAAGCCTTGTCCCTGGCGTTGTCGACACGGGTTCCTGACAGCAGTTCCTCGATCCGAACCGACCCACGCGTTCGTGGTTTCCGATCAACAGTTTTGAATTAGATTTTGTTACAATTTCGAAACATTATGTTGCAATTTTTAAATTTGGTTTTTTTCGCGAGCGAGTTTAGCCCCTACGACCGTTATAGCTTTCGTTGTGAAGCCCGTTGTGCGCTTTGGCCAAAAGCCTATTCTAACCTTTATATTTTCATGCAACATCCTTACAATTAAGGAATCATTCAATTATTTTCCAGAACCTAGGCGCCGAACCTCCCTAAAAATTTCGTGACGACAACCAGTCCTGATCCTATGCAAAATCATTGAACAATGGCATCCACCCGCAATGCACTATTCCTAATTCTATTCTACACTATTTTCCATGAAGCAATCACTCAGGAATGTTCGAATGGATTTCCCGGATTTTTCAGTAAGTATGATTCCCACTCCAAGTCCGTGGCAGCCTTTACAGGGCACTCCAAATTATACAAATCGATCTAACACCTATTACCGTTACATTTTCTGATAGGCATTAAGCTAGGAATGGAAGGGGGAAAAGGTTCCATAAAGTGCATTCATTCTTTTTATCGAGACCCTCCGGGTCCTTCCTAGAGCATGTTTAACCGGGGGGCAAGAAAGCAAAATTTTAGAGATGGTATGGAAGCTTCGATAAATTGGCTGTGCTGCGCAATAAGACTAGTTATTTGAGAAACGGGAGAAACCACCAAATGTGTTGGGGCGAAATCGACTTTCTGAGCTTACATAAATTATGTCGTCATGCCCTCCAAGGTGCTCAGTTCCCGGAACCTGTTATTCACGCGCCAGCTTCCAAAACCAAACAAGATAAAAAGGAGGATGAAGGAGCTGAGGATGCCTGACAGCCTCCTTTGCAAGAACACCCAGGCATGCCATAAAATGGAACTCCTTCCAGCAAACGCGAGTTTAAGTTTTGCCAATGAGAGAAAAGGCGCCATGGTGAACATAGCAGCCACCGCGCTTGAAGTTGCCTTCGTGGAGTAAAACAACAAGTCGTAAGCACTTTGCCTCACATCTTCGTTTAACGTAGGACGAAATGCTATTTCGGCACATGCTGACCAATTTCGCAAACTACATGATGTTTTAGCATGCCAGCAGTTAGCTGAAAGCGATGGTGGTGGATATGCGTGCGTCAGCTCCCCTGACCTAGGATGCGAGTACATCGGCAACCCATACGACAACTATTTTTGCTGTAAGTCTTTCCAGGTCTTTCCTCAGCAAAATTTACCTAAGGTCCGTATAACACTACGACTACTTCCACTACTACCACTACAACCACGACCACGACCACAACTACAACTACGACGACCACGACAACGACGACCACGACCACGACGACGACAACTACCACCACTACTACGACTACCACCACCACGACGACTACTACGACTACCACAACGACGACGACTACTACGACTACCACAACGACCACGACAACCACCACTACCACAACAACGACGACGACAACTACCACTACCACTACGACGACGACGACCACCACCACCACAACTACGACGACTACCACCACGACGACTACGACGACAACCACCACCACAACTACGACGACCACGACGACGACCACGACCACGACGACCACGACGACAAGCAGCACAACGACGACTACCACTACCACTACCACTACGACGACGAAGACGACCACCACCACAACTACGACGACTACCACCACGACGACTACGACGACAACCACCACCACAACTACGACGACCACGACGACGACCACGACCACGACGACAACCAGCACAACGACGACTACCACTACCACTACCACTACCACTACGACGACGACGACCACCACCACAACTACGACGACGACTACCACCACCGCCACAAAGACGACGACGACGACGTCGACGACGACTACGACGACTACGACGACCACGACGACTACCACCACGACGACTACCACTACGACGACTACGACGACAACCACCACCACAACGACGACGACGACGACGACGACGACGACGACGACGACGACGACGACGACGACGACGACGACGACGACGACGACGACGACGACGACGACGACGACGACGACGACGACGACGACGACGACGACGACGACGACGACGACGACGACGACGACGACGACGACGACGACGACGACGACGACGACGACGACGACGACGACGACGACGACGACGACGACGACGACGACGACGACGACGACGACGACGACGACGACGACGACGACGACGACGACGACGACGACGACGACGACGACGACGACGACGACGACGACGACGACGACGACGACGACGACGACGACGACGACGACGACGACGACGACGACGACGACGACGACGACGACGACGACGACTACCACCACGACGACTACGACGACAACCACCACCACAACTACGACGACGACGACGACGACGACGACGACGACGACCACGACGACGACGACGACGACGACTACCACCACGACGACTACGACGACAACCACCACCACAACGACCACGACCACGACGACGACGACGACGACGACGACGACTACCACCACGACGACTACGACGACAACCACCACGACGACTACGACGACAACCACCACGACGACTACGACGACGACTACCACCACCACCACAACGACGACGACGACGACGACGACATCGACGACGACTACGACGACTACGACGACTACGACGACCACGACGACTACCACCACGACAACGACCACGACCACGACGACGACCACGACCACGACGACCACGACGACAACCAGCACAACGACGACTACCACTACCACTACCACTACGACGACGACGACCACCACCACAACTACGACGACGACTACCACCACCACCACAACGACGACGACGACGACGTCGACGACGACTACGACGACTACGACGACCACCACGACTACCACCACGACGACTACCACCACGACGACTACGACGACAACCACCACCACAACGACGACGACGACGACGACGACGACGACGACGACGACGACGACGACGACGACGACGACTACCACCACGACGACGACGACGACGACGACGACGACGACGACGACGACGACGACGACGACGACGACGACGACTACCACCACGACGACTACGACGACAACCACCACCACAACTACGACGACGACTACCACCACCACCACAACGACGACGACGACGACGTCGACGACGACTACGACGACTGCGACGACCACGACGACTACCAACACAACGACCACGACCACGACGACGACCACGACCACGACGACCACGACGACCACGACGACAACCAGCACAACGACGACTACCACTACCACTACCACTACGACGACGACGACGACCACCACCACAACTACGACGACTACCACCACGACGACTACGACGACAACCACCACCACAACTACGACGACCACGACGACGACCACGACCACGACGACCACGACGACAAGCAGCACAACGACGACTACCACTACCACTACCACTACGACGACGACGACTACCACCACCACCACAACGACGACGACGACGACGTCGACGACGACTACGACGCCTACGACGACCACGACGACTACCACCACGACGACTACGACGACAACCACCACCACGACGACGACGACGACAACTACAACTACGACCACCACTACGACCACGACAACCACCACTACCACAACAACGACCACGACAACTACCACAACGACGACGACTGCTACGACCACCACAACGACCACGACAACCACCACGACGACGACTACTACGACTACCACAACAACCACCACTACCACAACAACGACGACGACAACTACCACCACTACTACCACTACCACCACCACGACGACTACTACGACTACCACCACCACGACGACCACGACGACTACCACCACAACAACTACGACGACAACCACCACCACAACTACGACGACGACTACCACCACCACCACAACGAGGACGACGACGACGTCGACGACGACTACGACGACGACGACGACCACGACGACTACCACCACGACGACTACTACGACTACCACAACGACGACGACGACAACTACTACCACTACTACGACTACCACCACGACGACGACCACGACGACAACCACCACTACCACAAGATCGACCACGACAACTACCACCACTACTACGACTACGACGACCACGACGACGACGACTACTACGACTACCACAACGACGACGACAACCACCACTCCCACAACAACGACGACGACAACTACCACTACGACGACAACTACCACTACGACGACGACAACTACCACCACTACTACGACTACCACCACGACAACGACTACTACGACTACCACAACGACGACGACTGCTACGACCACCACAACGACCACGACAACCACCACGACGACGACTACTACGACTACCACAACGACGACGACGACAACTACTACCACTACTACGACTACCACCACGACGACGACCACGACGACAACCACCACTACCACAAGATCGACCACGACAACTACCACCACTACTACGACTACGACGACCACGACGACGACGACTACTACGACTACCACAACGACGACGACAACCACCACTCCCACAACAACGACGACGACAACTACCACTACGACGACAACTACCACTACGACGACGACAACTACCACCACTACTACGACTACCACCACGACAACGACTACTACGACTACCACAACGACGACGACTGCTACGACCACCACAACGACCACGACAACCACCACGACGACGACTACTACGACTACCACAACAACCACCACTACCACAACAACGACGACGACAACTACCACCAGTACTACCACTACCACCACCACGACGACTACTACGACTACCACCACCACAACGACCACGACGACTACCACCACAACGACTACGACGACAACCACCACCACAACTACGACGACGACTACCACCACCACCACAACGACGACGACGACGACGTCGACGACGACTACGACGACGACGACGACCACGACGACTACCACCACGACGACTACTACGACTACCACAACGACGACGACGACAACTACTACCACTACTACGACTACCACCACGACGACGACCACGACGACAACCACCACTACCACAAGATCGACCACGACAACTACCACCACTACTACGACTACGACGACCACGACGACGACGACTACTACGACTACCACAACGACCACGACAACCACCACTACCACAACAACGACGACGACAACTACCACTACGACGACGACTACCACCACGGCGACGACGACTACCACAACAACGACGACGACAACTACCACCACTACTACGACTACCACCACGACGACGACTACTACGACTACCACAACGACCACGACGACGACTACTACGACTACCACAACGACGACGACGACAACTACCACCACTACTACGACTACCACCACCACGACGACTACTACGACGACGACTACCACCACCACCACAACGACGACTACGACGACGTCGACGACGGCTACGACGACTACGACGACCACCACGACTACCACCACGATGACAACCACCACTACCACAACAACGACCACGACAACTACCACTACGACGACGACTACCACCACGACGACGACTACCACAACAACGACGACGACAACTACCACTACGACGACGACTACCACAACGACGACGACAACCACCACTACCACAACAACGACGACGACTACGACCACGACCACCACCACTACCACAACAACGACCACGACAACTACCACTACCACAACAACGACGACGACAACTACCACCACGACGACGACAACTACCACCACGACGACGACAACCACCACCACTACTACGACTACCACCACGACAACGACGACGACTACTACGACTACCACAACGACCACGACAACCACCACTACCACAACAACGACGACGACAACTACCACTACGACGACGACTACCACAACGACGACGACAACCACCACTACCACAACAACGACCACGACAACTACCACTACCACAACAACGACCACGACAACTACCACCACGACGACGACAACTACCACCACGACGTCGACAACCACCACCACTACTACGACTACCACCACGACAAGGACGACGACTACTACGACTACCACGACGACCACGACGACGACGACGACAACTACCACCACTACTACCACAGCAACGACGACGACAACTACCACCACGACGACGACTACTACGACTACCACAACAACCACCACTACCACAACAACGACGACTACGACTACCACCACGACGACGACTACTACGACTACCACAACAACGACGACGACAACTACCACCACTACTACGACTACCACCACCACGACGACTACTACGACTACCACAACGACCACGACAACCACCACTACCACAACAACGACGACGACAACTACCACTACGACGACGACTACCACCACGACGACGACGACTACCACAACAACGACGACGACAACTACCACCGCTACTACGACTACCACCACGACGACGACTACTACGACTACTACCACGACAACGACTACTACGACTACCACAACGACGACGACTACTACGACTACCACAACGACCACGACAACCACCACTACCACAACAACGACCACGACAACTACCACTACGACGACGACAACTACCACCACTACTACGACTACCACCACGACAACGACTACTACGACTACCACAACGACGACGACTGCTACGACTACCACAACGACCACGACAACCACCACTACCACAACAACGACGACTACTACAACAACGACGACGACAACTACCACCACTACTACGACTACCACCACGACGACGACTACTACGACTACCACAACGACCACGACAACCACCACTACCACAACAACGACGACGACTACCACCACGACTACCACCACTACCACAACAACGACCACGACAACTACCACTACGACGACGACAACTACCACCACTACCACAACTACCACCACCGCGACGACAACCACGACTACGACGACCACGACGACAACGAGCACAACGACGACGACAACTACCACTACTACGACCACCACAACGACGACGACGACTACTACTACAACTACCACAACAACCACGACAACCACCACGACGACGACGACTACCACAACAACAACGACGACCACCACCACTACTACGACTACCACCACCACGACGACAACCACGATTACGACGACCACGACGACAACGAGCACAACGACGACGACAACTACCACTACTACGACCACCACAACGACGACCACTACCACTACCACAACAACGACGACGACAACCACAACGACAACCACCACCACGACGACGACTACCACAACAACGACGACGACCACCACCACAACAACGACGACCACCACCACCACTACTACCACTACCACCACCACCACGACGACAACCACGACTACGACGACCACGACGACAACGGCAAACGATGACGACAACTACCACACGCGACCACCAAACGACGACGACTACCACTACCAAACGACGACCACCACCACTACTACGACTACCACCACCACGACGACAACCACGACTACGACGACCACGACGACAACGAGCACAACGACGACGACAACTACCACTACTACGACCACCACAACGACGACCACTACCACTACCACAACAACGACGACGACAACTACTACGACTACCACAACGACGACGACCACGACAACCACCACCACGACGACAACCACGACTACGACGACCACGACGACAACGAGCACAACGACGACGACAACTACCACTACTACGACCACCACAACGACGACGACTACCACTACCACAACAACGACGACGACAACCACAACGACAACCACCACCACGACGACGACTACCACAACAACGACGACGACCACCACCACAACAACGACGACCACCACCACCACTACTACCACTACCACCACCACCACGACGACAACCACGACTACGACGACCACGACGACAACGAGCACAACGATGACGACAACTACCACTACTGCGACCACCACAACGACGACGACTACCACTACCACAACGACGACCACCACCACTACTACGACTACCACCACCACGACGACAACCACGACTACGACGACCACGACGACAACGAGCACAACGACGACGACAACTACCACTACTACGACCACCACAACGACGACGACGACAACTACTACGACCACCACAACGACGACCACTACCACTACCACAACAACGACGACGACAACTACTACGACTACCACAACGACGACGACCACGACAACCACCACCACGACGACAACCACGACTACGACGACCACGACGACAACGAGCACAACGACGACGACAACTACCACTACTACGACCACCACAACGACGACGACTACCACTACCACAACAACGACGACGACAACCACAACGACAACCACCACCACGACGACGACTACCACAACAACGACGACGACCACCACCACAACAACGACGACCACCACCACCACTACTACCACTACCACCACCACCACGACGACAACCACGACTACGACGACCACGACGACAACGAGCACAACGATGACGACAACTACCACTACTACGACCACCACAACGACGACGACTACCACTACCACAACAACGACGACGACAACTACTACGACTACCACAACGACGACGACAAGGACAACCACCACTACGACAACGACGACGACGACGACAACGAGCACAACGACGACTACCACTTCCACCACAACGACGAGTACCACAACGACAACAACGACGGCGACGACGGTCGCCTCTACGACCATACTGACAACCACAATGGTAAGTTCACCGGATGCCTGGTAAAATCCATAGTCATACGTATATTTGTAACCGTGTGGAACATAGATATTTTCTATTTTGGCCATGGATGTCATGCTACGATACCTGATTTAATGAAATAATGTTTAGACGCCGCTTACCACTACCGGGCCCTGCAAAGACAACGCTACTTACTGTACGACAAATGCTAATATGTGCACCAACACCTTATACGCCGGTAAGCGACTATTGCCGAGGGATAATGGTGCAACAATTCTTTAGGTGTGATGAAAACCAACTGCCCTGTTACGTGTGGTTACTGCGGTACCAGCACGGTCGGCTCAACGACAACTTATTTGGTGGGTGAAGGCAACGGTTGTTTCGGGGAAAGGATGGACATTTTCCAACACTCATTTATAGTGTGTCGACAAATTGTCGAACTGTGCCGCAAACAAGGCGATGTGCAACAACACCATCTATCTCTCCTATATGCAAACAAATTGCCCGGTGACCTGCAAATTCTGTCCGACAACGACGGTGGCCCCGCCGACAACCACTAGCCCATTCGTACGTGAATTCTCAAACCTAGGCTCTAGTAGAGCTAGTCTATCGGGAGTACAGCCGTTGGTGAATGACAAGGAGGCGCTTTGCGCGCTTCGTGTGACAGCTGTATAGATTGCAAGGAAGAATACAAAGCCATTATTCCACAAAATGTCGAAAGTCGAAAACGACATGAACTTTTAACGCGCAGCTTAGAAAAATGAGTAGTGCGTCGTCTCAATCGTTTTTCATTTCCGCTCTCCTAGCAAGATAACGCTTTGAAGTTTCGCCAGTATTTCATACACGTTTTTAGGTTTGCAAAGATATTCTATCAAACTGTGCGACTAACAAGGCTATGTGTGATAATTCCGTCTACAAGCAGTATATGACGTCGAATTGCCCAGCTACGTGCGGGCTCTGCGCGAATTCCACCAATGGATGCCCGGCAGCAGATTTTACAAAGTAAGGAAAAGTGTGCGCTTGTATTAACGATATTAAGAGCTAACCAGGGTTGAAAAGCCGCTTCGCGACTTTTCAACCCTGGCCCCGTCTGACCCCTATTTTATCCATCACTTTGCATAATTGTCCTGCTTTCGGACGACAAAAAAAAATGAAAAACAACCTCTCTTATCCCGTCATATAGTCGAATCCCAACTTCCGGTCTATGCTAATTTGTTCTAACAAAGAACTTTTAACAATAACTTAAATTTAATGTCGAAAATAGGTAATTTTGCTGAATCCAAAATGCGTGCAGTCGTCTCCAGGCCATTACGCACCTAATGACGTATCATACATACCTTAAAATTCATCCCCTATCGAGATATCCTCCGGACAGACAGACGGAAGTGGATGCAAAGTGGCACACACAGACACACACACACACAGACACTATTTTTTTATATATAGTAGGATGTGCATAACGGTCTTAAAATTTTCTTAGGGAACCTTTGAAACACATTTTTCAGCTGTACGGTCTGGAAATCGAACGGGTTTTGCGACAGCAAATACTTTGACGATGCGACGAAGAAAAGCTGGTGCGGCTACACTTGCGGTTATTGTGGACCAGATGCGTGTATTGATTATCATAGCAAGTATGGATCTTGCCTCGCTTTTTGAATAACCTTAATGACTCTAGCTGCACAGTCTGGGCGTCAAACGGCTTCTGCACTAGCACCGCCTATACCGCTGAGGAGAAGTCCTACTACTGCGCGAGAACGTGTGGCCTGTGCACAAACTGCACGGATAATCATTCAAAGTAGGGGGTTTATTAGAATACTAATTCGAGTGATTTCAGTTGTACCGTTTGGAACTCAAACGGCTTCTGTGCCTCCACGGCGTACACAACAACACAAAAGCAGCAATATTGTGCCAAGACTTGCGGGTATTGCGGCAACTTCTGTGCCGATTTGCAGAACAAGTTGGTATTTACATTTGTGAAGGCCTTATAGCTAAATCCATTGGTGATTGTTGTATTTTAGCTGCACGACATGGAAGGCCAACGGGTTCTGCTCAAGTTCGGCGTATAACGCCACAACCAAGGCTTATTATTGCGCGTATACGTGCGGGTATTGTACAGGTTCGACTATAAGTCCGCCGACTACGAAGAAAACTACGCAAAAAATGACGACCACTCCATGTGCGGATCTGTATCCAGGAAGGTAAGTGTTTTTTTTTGCTTTATTTAAATCGATCGGGCGGACTCCCGATTGAGGCGAGAAGGCGCTGAGTTTGCACTGGCCGGGATTGAACTTTCGACACCAATGATGACCATTCACGCCAAAAACATAGCCTACGGAAAGTCGTGAACACACCCACTCTTATTAGTGCGCTAGGGACTGGAAATGGGTGCTTTCAACGCAAAACCAACCAAATTCGAACGAGAGCATCCGGCTCATAAGCGGATTTCTGTCCACACGGTTGCTTTAATAAGACTCCTTTTTCCAGTTGTCCAACGTGGGCCTCGAACGGTTTTTGCCAGAGCACCGAATATACCGCGGTGACGAAACAAGCAAATTGTGCAAAGACATGTGGCTACTGTTGACAGCCCTAAAATGTTCATCCTGTGTTTCCCTTGCCCCAAGCCCCCCCCTACGTCCGCACCCATTGTCTCTGACCCCCCCATGAAACCAGGATTTTTAGGTTGCAACCCTATAGAAGGGCCGTGTAATAAATCATTCATCCAGCTTCATTTTTGACTGCCCAAGCACCCCAAAATCCAAGTACAAATATTTATTTTCTCGTTGCAAGGGTCGCGGAGAACGAACGGAAGGGGGAAAGTTTTTCAAAATATACAAATAGGTACGGGCGGTGCTAAACAAGGTGGTGATGTGTTGGTGTGTTAGCGATGGTTTTTGCGGTTAACAGAAATGATTTATTAGTCTAGGGTTGGCTCGATTTTTGGGCGAGACACACGTAATAGATGGACGGGTACGGAAAGTGTAGGCGGGATGGTACAAAAGAAATAAAGAGGGAAGGTCGGTCGGGGCCGTGACTGGTTGTGTTGTTATTGATATGCGCTTTTTAAGGGAAGGCTATTATGCTGCAAACGAGTTATAGTGGGGTGTTTAGAAGCGGGACTGTGGAATGGACAGGGTTTTGACTAGTTTTCCCGGGGGGTATTTCCTGGGCTGGTGAAAATGAAAAATATGCTTCTAAAAGCATAGACCCTGCCCAGGAAATGTTGGCCGCGTAGAGCCGTAGCAGGGGGAGGATGAGATCACTTTAAAGGCGAGGAGCTAGCGAAGGAGAGGAGATTTTGACACGGGCTTGCTTGGAATATCCGCGACTTCGATTTGGAGTCTGGTCGGTTAGGTGTTGCGAGTAAAGAGGCACTGGATCGGAGAGAAGTAGCAGTTTCGCGGGTAGCTCTTCTTCTCACTCGAGCGGCGTGCTCGTCGCTCAACTATCTCTCGGGCTAGTCGCTCACGCTCGGCCAGCGTCTCGAGCTCACTGTAATAGAAAAAATATTAATGAGTCTTCAAGGCCATTATATATTTTTTGATAGTTTCTGTACATATACCATGGAAACGATTGTCTTTACTCGGCCTGAAAACATGAAGACCGAGAGCTCTTCCGATCTAATTTAAGAACCCCACGAGGTGTTTTAATTTACATTTTTCTCATACATATAAATGATCATGACAGCAGCTTCCCCCCTCCCCCCAAAAAATATTCGCCTACGTCGCGCCTTCGAAAAGATTGGGGTTGTTATTCCAATTATGCTTATGAGAGGGGATTGGAGCATCGCAACTGAGATGTGGGCAGTGAAGGGCCACGCGGGGGACCACCCATCGGCCTCAAAAGGAATTTATTAAGCGCCACCCTGAAGTGCCAATATGTGCGAGGACTGCGTAGGCGCGGCCATGCCCACCATCCACTTCCAAAAGATTTGTTCAAGGGGACAAGGTAAGTGATGACGACACGCATTTTTGCGCGTCGGCACCGAGGAAAGCTAAGTGGCGAACATTATTTCAAGGCCATATTTTCTTTATTTGGTTCAACGATGCCTTTTTGGGACTTGTATCAATGGGCTGGTCAGACGCATTCCCATGCGCATCCGCTTTCAACCACCTAGCCGACTAGCACGAGGGGTATTAGCCGCAATCTGCGCGATTGTACTACCATGTGCCGAAATCTGAGCCCACTATACCCCGGACGGCTGTACCCTAATTTGACACATTATCTTGTGTGAGTATCTCAAAAATATTGACTTACGCTAGCACATCGTCCATCTCTAATCTGTGGTGGCTGTAGGCACTGGAGTAATGGAAAAGGGCCGCCACAATCAGAAAAACTACGCCGAGGATTCTCATCGTGGATGTGTGTATGGGGCCAAGCTGAAATAGAAAATTAGAATATAAATGCAAAGTCTTTGGAAAAAACTGTGGAACGTGGAAGGCATGTGGAAAGACGGGTACGGTATGGTGGAGTTTATCGTGTTCCGAAATGGGGAGGCGGCTATCGGCTGTCCATTCGGCCATAACATTCGAAAAAAAAGCTGCCGAGATATGGCTCTCCGGGGGGTGCTCGGGGCATTTTTTGAGATTCAACCCTTGCCCCTCATCGGCTCAATCCTAATTATTGATGTTAAACGGAAGTCCATCCGAGCCGCGGGTGCGCAATGGCTGGTGGGCGGAACGAAAGGGGCGCCACATAGGGGGGCAAAGGCTGTTTTACTATTTGATGCGGGCTTCTTTCGTCGACCTTGTGGGAGGAAAGAGCTTGGGCCGACTGGGCAAGAGCTCGCATTACATGCTTAGTTCATTGCACGAAGGTGTCGGCTAATCTTGTCTCAAGGCCGAACAACAGAAAGGAACAAAAAAGGGGTTAAGGCAAGGGATAGTCTGGACTGCCACGCCATTCGAGAAAAGATCCCGGTTCAAAGTTCTTAAGATTACAAGTTCGTCGCGGATGGCGGGGCTGCGTGGGTCCTTATCTATGGAAGAAATTTCGAGGAGACGGGTGCTTCTGAGACCGCATGGCGGAGAAATGCCGCTCAACGCTATGGGGTCTAGCCTTCTTTCGAAAATTCCTGATAATTTAGGAGGACGGTTTGGGTAGTGCTTTTCACCCGTGAAAATATCTAGTGTACTAGCCTGGCTTTCTGGAAAAAATATCATAACAAGGAAAGACCGGTAAATATACGGCTAGGGGCCGGGATTTCCTGGAAACGGCCTTCTACTGATAGTCCCCGCCGGGTATTGTTTGTGAATTGTCTCGTTTCGGGAATGTCTAGCGGGGTCTGGGGGTTGGGTTAGGGGAATGGCGGCGAAACCGCCACCGAGATGCCGAGATTGAAAGGAACGTTGGTGGCCAGATCAGCTGTGGAATGGGCGGGTGCGCGGAAGAGTGATGTCCCTTGGTCCGCCCAGCGGGGCCCCCTGGTCTCCTTATGCCAATATTATTTGGAGATGCCGCAGCAATGTTTGCGAAAAATGCAAACCTCATGACCACAGATGGGGAAAATGGATGCGCAAGAAAATGCCGCCGCAGGAAGCGATTTGCACTTGAAAAGTTTTCAGTAAAGAATGAAACGAGTATTTGGCTAAATTATCCTTTATAAAGGCGCCGCTCAAAATCAGTTCATTGCCATAACAAATATATTTCATTTAGGTGCGCCGGACAAAACCACATCGCTTCACCACTAAACGTCATATGACATCCAAAAAGTACGCCTCAGGGAAGGAAAGTACCAATCTACGACGATTTCCGAAACAAAAGTGCCTCAGTGCCGAAATATTGGCCCGACTGTACCGACCAATCTAACACTCGCGCCCCCGGATCAAAGAACCTCCATCGCCTGAGTGCTAATTGCTTACCGTTTCCACAGTAAAAAGCAAAACAGAAGCAGTCAGTTAGGGAAAAGGAGTCTGGGTCTGTATGCCAAAGATCTGCGGATGCAGTGAGTTTGTTGGGGGTGTGCGATCAGCTGTGTGAGCCCTCGAAGAGGCGGAGCGTGGTTTGTGTGTGCGCGCGGAAGACTGATTCCTACACCAAAGCCCCCACCCCTTCCGAAACCAAGAAAACGAGATGGTATGGAGAGCCCTTCCTTAGGCTGTGGACACACGCGGAACCCGCCTTAGGCCCCTCCCAATTCCGGGGCGCTGCCAAACCGCCGGAGGGGCCCGTTTTGGCCCGGCGCCACGATCGTGGCTGTTTCCAACCGGAACTGCGTGTATTCTACATGAGGGTGGGCGAGCGAGGGTGTTCTCTTCTCTACCAAAAAACCGCTAGCAAACAGTGCGTCACCCCGCGCTTTCGCTTGTAAGTCCTGCACCCCCGTTGTTGCTGCTATGGGGTGAAAGAAAAAGTACAGAGTGCTAAAAGCGCTAGATTTACAGGAAGATGGTAAGCAAAAAATCGGGTAGGCAATTCACCTTCTTGCAGCAGCTTAACTGCGAGAGGAACCAGTGACATAAAAAAAACGCCTGCGTCTCTTCGAGTTTGTGTCATCTGAGTAACCTTATCATGAAAGGATCTAGAACGAACAGAGGCTTGGGTTCAGGAAAAAACTGGGGCCAAATGCATTTGGTGACGTACCACCATACTGTCAATCGCTTAGCAAAGGTGTTCGTATGTCCAAAATGCTACAGCGCCGCCCTTTTTATCAAAATTGGTTTGCGGATTAAAAGGAGGAAGGGATGGTCTCCACGTGGCCCTACAAACCCCTATGCAAACACGCGTCAGCGCTGGTCCATTGTTGCCCCCCGTTCGGCCATTATAGAACCTATTCAACGTTGTTTTTGGAGGCACTGGGCTTTGGTAATTTCTGGGACGGATACTCGCCTGACTGGTCAGTGGAGGCATATTTTGCTCGTCGGCCGTTGGGTACAGGAAATTACGGCCCGAACTAGTGAGGTTGGATGGAAACAGAGGGCATTTGGTATTTTGAAAAACATTGTTGCTTTGCGGTTGCTAAAACAATTTCAAACGTTGAAGGGACAGGAAATGGGTGACGGGAAGGTGGTGAGATTGCGGGTGGACTCCATAGACTCGTTAGACTAGGCGGTGCTTTTAAAGTCCTCACTATTGTGACAGTGACACAAAAAATGTAACTTACTTTAATAGCCGTATAAAATGCGATAGTAGCGTTAATTGCTTCAGCTTGAATCACCGCACGGATGGTGACACCGATCTGTTTGACTGCGAGCGAGGGTGGGGCCCAGGCGGGGAGGAGTTTCGTATTTTTAGGTCAAGCGATCAAGGAGTTTGTATAAATATTTTGCTAAGGGACGGGGGTGGGCCCGTGTGCAGCGCGAACAGGGCATGTGACCCTCAAAACATGCCCAAATTAAGCCTCGGCTGACCGATTGGAAGTCAAGATTTGCAGCCGAACGCTGCTGGGTCAAATGATTGATACTGACGTTGAACAAACACGACGTAGCGCGATGCGTTTTTGATGTAGGCAAAAAGGCGAAATGGGTAAAGATGATAGATTGGCTTGCTGCCGAGCTACCGTAATACACATTCTTTGGTCGGGAGGGTAAAGAAGAAGAAGAAATCCCGGTAATGGCCACTGCCGGCCAGCCACCTAGGTCA